CTTGTGTATCAATGATACTGGAAATGAATCATTTTGAGTCACACAATTTAAGGGTGAATTCCTTAACATATTAAATATATACTCCTATGTAGAAGTAAATGGTATCGTCATTATGTTCCCCAAACGAAGTTTGGGAACATATTGTTTTTACTCTGTTTCTTATTATTATTATTATTATTAAGGTCTTCCGTCTCCAACGGAAGACCTTATTGTTTTCGTTCGGTTTCTTTTTCCCTATTATTATTATTATTATTATTATTATTTTTCTTCCAACCGATTTTGTGCACGCGATTTCTCAGAAACGGCTGGGCCGATTTACACCAAACTTTCAGATGTAAAAGATATTCAATTGATCTTGATAGGTTTTTTTGTTTTTTGATGACGTCACTTCCGGTCGTGAGATATTGACGATTTTCTGATTTTCAGAGGGTCGGCTTGTCCTGGAATCTCCTCCTAAACGACTAAAGCTATTGAGTTAAGATTTTCAGTGAAGATAGAGGAAAGATTGTAGATGTGCAATTGGGCATCTATATCTTTCCAGCTCAAATGGCGTTGAAGCTCGCCTGGGCTCAAAAAAGAGGCTCACAAACATCTCACAAAATTTGACACGTTTTCTTTTATATCTTTTTACCTGTAAATATTTTGTTAAAACATGTATAACAAAAGATGTGTAAAATGATAAGACCTTTCATTTGATATCAAACAAAAATGGCTGATCCCTCAAATTAGGGGCTCAGAGGGGCCAAAAGTCTTTAATGTATAACTCTTGAACGATCAATATTTTGTTATAAATTACTGAAGCAAAAATGTTTATCTTATCGATTTGCAACTATATGTTTTAAAATTTTGATCATATGTTACGTAATAAGGGGTCAAAAGGGGCCAGCATGCTAAATCTTTGATGCTTTATATCTCAAAAAGGGGGAATATTTTGAAAATCAATATTGAACAAAAGATGTTCAGAATAATGTTCTTAACAATATGCAACCTTTCAATTTTTGCAAAACGGCCCCATTAAGGACTCGAAGGGCTGGCCCCTAAATATTTCAATTCAGCATATCTCGAAAACGAAAATAGATTTCTGAATAGTTGTTGAACAAAAAATCTTCAAAATCACAAGACCTTTCAATTGATATCAAGAAAAAAGGGCTGATCCCTTAAATTAGGGGCTCAGGGGGCCCAAAAGTCTTTCATGTATAACTTTTGAACGATCAATATTTTGTTATAAATTACTGAAGCAAAAATGTTCATCTTATCGATTTGCAACTATATGTTTTAAAACTTTGATCATATGTTACGTAATAAGGGGCCAAAAGGGGCCAGAATGCTAATTCTTTGATGCTTTATATCTCAAAAAGGGGGAATATTTTGAAAAGCAATATTGAACAAAAGATGTTCAGAATAATGTTCTAAACAACATACAACCTTTCAATTTTTCCAAAACGACCCCATTAAGGACTTGAAGGGCTGGCCCCAAAATATTATAATTCAGCATATCTCGAAAACGAAAATAGATTTCTGAATAGTTGTTGAACAAAAAGTCTTCAAAATCACAAGACCTTTCATTTGATATCAAGAAAAAGGGGCTGACCCCTCAAATTAGGGGCTCAGAGGGGCCAAAAGTCTTTCATCTTTAACTCTTTAACGATCACTAATTTGTTGTACATTACTGAAGCAAACATGCTATCTTAACGATTTACAACAATTTATGATAAGATACTGATCATACGTTACGTAACAAGGGGTCAAAAGGGGCCAGAATGCTGAATCTTTGACGCTTTATATCTCTTAAAGGGGGAATATTTTGATAAGCAATACAGACCAAAGATAGTCAGAATTATGTTCTTAACAATATGCACCTTTTCAATTTTTGTCAAACGGCCCCAATAAGGACTTGGAGGGGCAGCCCCTAAATATTTCAATTCAGCATATCTCCACAACGAAAAGAAATATCTGAATAATTGTTGAACAAAAATTCTTCAAAATCACAAGACCTTTTATTTGATATGAAGAAAAAGGGGCTGACTCCTCAAATTAGGGGCCCAGAGGGGCCAAAAGTCTTTCATCTATAACTCTTTAACGATCAATAATTTGTAATACATTACTGAAGCAAACATGCTTATCTTAACGATTTACAACAATATATGATAAGATTCTGATCATATGTTACGCATAAGGGGTCACAAGGGGCCAGAATGCTACATCTTTGACGCTTTATATCTCGATAAGGTGGAATATTTTGATAAGCAATATTAAACAAAAGATGGTCAGAATAATGTTCTAAACAATATGCACCCTTTCAATTTTTGTCAAACGGCCCCATTTAGGACTTTTAGGGATGGCCCTTAAATATTTCCATTCAGCATATCTCCTCAACGAAAAGAAATCTCTGAATAGTTGTTGAACAAAAAGTCTTCAAAATCACAAGACCTTTCATTTGATATCAAGAAAAAGGGGCTGACCCCTCAAATTAGGGGCTGTGAGGGGCCAGAAGCCTGTCATCTATAGCTCTTTGATAATTTTATATAAATCAAAAGAATGACATCTATTTAGGGAAGTCTATATATTATTATCTTTTAACAAAGATCATAGTCAAAATCATATCTCATCTTATCGAAAAATCGGACGGAAGACCTACTCGTTGCTCGCAACGAGATCTCATCTAGTTATTATTATTTTTCTTCCTGGGTACTTTTTTGTCCGTGAGTGATCTCCGAAACTATACATCCGATTGAGTTGAAACCTTTTTAGGGTTAATAGGAATGTTATGTAGATTTGCGGAACGAAGGTCATTTTGCGCGCACGTGCATGCACGTGCGTGCGCGTGCAATGAGTAAAATGACCAATATACTTGATATAGCCATAACTTTCATATCTTTCGATGAAATACTTTGATACTCAGAATATAAGGATATATTAATAGTGTAGACAAGATGACATGGTCAGAATGCACATGCATGCACGAGTGCGCATGCGCACTGATTGAAATAACCAATACAATTGATATAGACTTTACTTGTACATTTTTTGATGAATTGCTTTGACACTCAGAATATAAATATATATTAGAAGTGTAGACAAGAAGACTTGATCAGCGCACACATGCATGCACGTGCATGCACGTGCGTGCGCGTGAAATGAGTAAAATGACACATATACTTGATATAGCCATAACTTTCATATCTTTTGATGAAATGCTTTGATACTCAGGATATCAGGATATATTAATAGTGTAGACAAGATGACATGGTCAGAATGCACATTCATGCACGTGTGCGCATGCGCAATGATTACAATAACCTATACAAATGATATAGACTTAACTTGTATATTTTTTGATGAATTGCTTTGAAACTCAGAATATAAATATATATTAGAAGTATAGACAAGATGACATAATCAGCGCTCACATGCATGCATTTGCATGCACGTGCGTGTGCGTGCAATGAGTAAAATGACCAATATACTTGATATAGCCAGAACTTTTACATTTTTTGATGTAATGCTTTGATACTCAGAGTATATAGACATATTATAAATGAAGACAAGATGACATTGTCAACAAGCATCTGCATGCACGTGCGCGCGCATGCAATGCTAAAATGACCAATATACTTGATATAGCTGTAACTTTTATACTTTTTGATGAAATGATTTGATACCCGAAATATGTAGATATATTAATAGTGTTGACAAGATGACACGATCATCATGGACATGCATGCACGTGCGCGCGCGTGCAATGCATAAAATGACAGATATACTTAATATAGCCGATTTTTTTTTTATCTTTTAATGAAATTTGAATATAAAGATGTATTAAAAGTGTAGACAAGTTGACATGGTCATTTTGTACATGCATGCCCGTGCGCGCGCGTGTAATGCGTAAAAAAAACCCAATATACTTGATTGCCTTATTTAATGAAGCTTACAGGGAATAAGACACTAAAAGGAAGTTGGGGAGCGTTTGGGGAACATCTGTAACGGTCCCCGTTACAATTAATACTAGTTCAATTTTACCTTGAAGTTCTTAATTATTTAACAGAGTTTATGAATATATATTATTCTACAGGGTTTTCTTATCTCTACGTGTTGATCTATATATTTTAGAGTAATATTTATATAGTATATATATATATACTGTACATCTAAATCTGCTCTTCTGGTTTACTTCCAATCATGTACATTGTCATATATTTGTACTTGTTATGTAATGTACAACATTGTTCTCTACATTTATGAAAATAAAGTATTGTCATAACATGATCATGATGTGAATCTTTAAAAGTTTTATGATGCTGGTATTACATGTAATAAACACTACATGTATATTATACGTTAAACATATATGGTTGTATTTAATTAATTTAAGTTACAGTGTAGCCCTGTTGGATTTTTTGGTTGCGGAATCAGAATAGAACATTGTGTGTTGACATGGTATGTAGATATCAATTTATAACTTGCTACAGAGGTTGTGGATGACCAGAAGCTATAAAACCTACTCACTTGAGGATCAAAAGTTCAAGGTGATTGTTAGGGTATCTTCTTATCAATTTTCTCAAAAATGTATGTAGAGTATTTAACAATTTGACTCAGTCTAATAGTTACAAAAATGCTACAGATGTTCCATACGAAAAAAAAATATTAAAAAAAAAATGTTTGTTCATTTCAAATGTTCAACTATAAACAGTATCAATTCATAGTACATGCTACAGTTGCAAGATGGCCAATGTAAGAATAGTTAAAAATAATAATTTATACAGAGTCTGAAGGTCAAAGACAAATACGTGTTGATGATAAAATTTGAATTATATCCTGAGTTGCAATGAGATCAGTGTAGGAATATCGATTCCAGGGTCAGAAGGTCAAAGATACATCTGTGTTTACCCCCTATGGAAGCTAGTAACTACAAAATGAAGCCATTTAACAATGTGAATAATTCACATTTCAGAGTTGCATATTAACACAATGACAAAAACATTACAACATTCAAATTTAATCAAACTCAGCAGTATGCAATATTTTGACACATATGCATGAAAAGTCTTTAAAATAGAGCAAATATATATATTTTAAAATAAAAACAATATCAACAAGAGTATAAACAAATACTTAATGCATCACTGTCAGAGAAACACAACCATAATAATTTAAAATATACTCTGTACACAACCATTGTAATCACAGATTAAATGTGATAAGGACGGACTATAATATTTGCATTCAGCATATAAACAATTGGCTATGTAATGCAATATTGCCATACATTGACATTCTTTATAATATAAAACACAAATACAGAAAAATTGTCAGATCTTTTTCAAGAAATCACTCCTAAAAGTCATTATTTTTTTTTTCAATACAAGGTAGAGTCTTTGGCAGTTTCTTTATTTAATAAGGCCAGATAGTGGCTGTGAGCCCACGCAGAGCCCATCTCATGGGGGGAATTCCCTCCTTCTTGATGTCAATTTCCATGATGGGGTCACGTGGTGCTATTCTGGATGGATAGAGTGGACACTGGAAAGATGGTTCCTGTAGGGCAGGTTTCTCGTTAATCGGGTAGCACTGTAGATGTAGGACAGGAAGTGGGGCATAACCCTGTCTGGAGGCCTGGTCCTGGAATTCATTGGTCGTCTTCTCAATGGAACATCCCCAGAGGTGGATACCATGGATGTACACACCCTCTGGTGGAGGCTGAAGTAACTACAGAAGGACACAGAATTTCTAAGTCAGAATGTCTTTATCTAAATTTTTTGTGTATACAGAGAAAATTCTGCTGAATATCAAAAATCAGCTTCTTTTATCAATGCAATATAAATCAACATCTTAATCTGCAGCACAAAGCAGGTTTCTACTGTAACATTAAGAAATTTTTAAAAAAGATAATCATTTTCATCTGATAAAATGAAATTTCCCTATTTTTACCTAATTAAATAAAATAATATTCTTACATGTCCAAAATCTCTGAATGTTGTGTCAGTCTGGAAGGTAAATTGTTCGAAATTGCCCGACCTATCCCCACAGTAACTCTTGATGGCTTCCTGTTTCAGTAAGGCAAGGAGTCCTCTAGGATTGAAGAATGCTCCTAACCAATAGGCTGGCATGGCCTTTCTTCCCTGTAACATGCAGAAAAAACATCCTGATATTCAAGACATGCAGAATAAAAAAAATCTAATAATAAGGTATTCTTGTGTACTTTGGCGACCTGGCATAGGCAAAACCAGAAGTGGAGAACTTTATTTATATCTATCACAATGTTTCTCTGTACTGCTTACGTATTTTGAATAAGATAAAAATTGAGAATTACAAAAATAAACCCTTTCAAACTTGAAATTTGCAGTAGAGAATGAAAATAGTGTCAATTGATTCTAATTCTGAAAAAAAAAAACCTGAATTCTGAGAAGGACCCCCCCCCCCCCCCCTATCCTTCCACACTTACAAGAATTGAAAGTACTTAATACACAATACACACCATGCTGAGGATCTTCTCAAAGTGTTTCCAGCGGTCCTCCAGATCACGGAGCCACTGAGCTGCATTGTAGGTGTAGGGTGGGGCGGTGGTGCCCGTCATCTTACACCAGATCCTGGGAATCCGTAAGTGGTACAGATCATCGGCGGCAGACAGGTAGTGGTCACTCAGCTGGTCACCCATCACATTGTTCTCACAAGCATTCCTTATCAACTGTTATCAACATAACATAATTCACATATTTAAAAATATTTTTAAAGAATTTTTAAATGTGTGAGGTTGTTTAGAAAACTCAATAATTGTAAACAATGGGATATAGTAAACTACTTCAAACAAATTAGGACTTTAAACATCATAAATTCTGTATATCTTTAAAGACAATGTCAGAGTAAAGCTAAGAATGCTGAGGAACATAATCAATTTTACATTATCTGAACTCAAAGTACATTAAATTGGTCCAAATAATAAATGAAAACTTACAGTAAGTGTATGTCGGACTTCTGTCAACAGTTGGTGTAGAATCTCACACTCTTTCATTATGAAGTCATTGAAGATAGGATAGTCTCCAGGTAGTTTACGGATTTTCTCCACAACAAACTCACGGAATGACTGAAATGATTCAAGTTATGTTTTACTTACAAATGCAGTTCTATTCACTTCTCAAATTACACACAAAATACTTTACGAACAACTTTCAACCTGTTAATGCCTTTGACCCTAACATTTAACCCTTAATAACAATTGCCCCCCCCCTTTCCCACCTATTCATGACCATTTAGGATTTTTTTAGCAAGACATGGCTAACAAGAAGTCTGTGGCCAATGCTCACTAATAATACCCCCCTCTGATGTGAATATACAAGTTCAGTTATGGACAGACAGAGTGATAATCAGGAAGTGGACATTGGATCTTTACAAAAATGAATCCAAACATATGGCATCCTTAAACAAAGGGTGTGCTAAAATTTCAAGCATCTGTGATGAGTAGTTGTTGAGAAAACTGCGACCAAAATTTGTTATCTATGGTACGGACAGATGCACGGATAAACAGGAAGTTGACATCGGATCCGTACAAAAATGAATCCCACCATATGGCATGCCTAAACAAAGAGTGTGCTAAAATTTCAAGCATCTACAATGAATAGTTGCTGAGAAAACAGCGACCAAAATTTGTTATGTATGGTATGGACAGACGCACAGATAAACAGGAAGTTTACATTGAATTCGTATAAAAATGAATCCCAACATATGGCATGCCTAAACAAAGAGTGTGCTAAAATTTCAAGCCTCTGCGATGAGTAGTTGCTGAGAAAACTGTGACCAAAATTTGTTACGGACAGACACACAGCAGGACAGACAGACGGAGAGACAGACAGACACACAATGGTAAAACAGTATACCCCCGTCTCCTTTGGAGTGGGGGTATAAAAAGATGGTCACATACATATTGGCCAAACACTATTGCCCACATCAAACTTCGCAGTGAGAGGAAAAGAGGAAATTGTAGAGAGAGGATTCATCAGAGGATAAAAAAGACTTTTCTTTATGTAGATGTGTCCTTGAGTATCTTACTTTGCTGCTATTGCCAATCTTGGGAGTCTTCTGTAGCAGGTCATTACAGATTTGCCAGAGTTCCACATCTTTGAAGCGAATTTTGTGTGTGGCATAGCTGGCTGTAGAGAACACTCCCTGATGAACCACAGAGGGGTTGTTACTAGTTTTACTAATACCAGCCTGGGCAGGTCCTGAAATAAAAGGCAAGAGTCATTGTCAGTGACAAAATGTCTGATAAAGTTCATGTAAATAAAGTACAACTGATATTCAGGAAAACGAATTTGTTACAGAAAAATTAAGTTGAAGTTGAATCAAACAAAGTCAATTATATTGGAAGCATGTACATATGTTCATAAAAAAATTCTCTTGAAATCCATCTTAGCTAATACAAAGTACCCTTTGTAGGAGGAAAAAAAATACCATAAGTGGTGCTATGGTCATAGGAATGTAATGTCAAAATGTGTTACTTTATAAATACATGTAACTTACTATCAAATTGTGTGGAGCCATAAGAATACTATGTGATGCTTTGTACATTACATCTTTAAATGGTGTGGGGTCATGGGGATTTTTCATTGGGTGCATTTTAACTTATCATAAAATGGTATGTGAGATGGTACTTTGTAACTTAACTTCATATTGTGTTGGTTCATTAAATATTATGTAGTGTTTTGTAACTTACCATATTAAATGGTTGTGGGGTCTGCTAAATATCATTTGGCATATTGTAACTCTCCATAAAATTGTGTAGGAGATTTACACTGTAACTTACAATTAAATGGTGTAGGAGAAGGTTCAATGTAATTTACCATCAAATGGTGAGGGAGATGGTATCCTGTAACTGACCATAATATGGCGTGGAAGATGGTTCCCTTTAACTTTCCATCAAATGGCATGGAAGATAGTACCCTGTACTTACCATCAAATGGTGCGGGAGATAATACCCTGTAACTTACCATGAAATGGTGTGGGAGATGGTACCCTGTAACTTACCATGAAATGGTGAGGGAGTTGGTACCCTGTAACTTACCATCAAATGGTGTGGGAGATGGTTCCCTGTAACTTACTATCAAATGGTTTGGGAGATGGTTCCCTGTAACTTACCATCAAATGGTGTGGGAGGTCGAGGAAACATCTTGTGGGATAAGGTATTGGTGGATGGCATGCTGTCAAAAACTTTGTTTAGTCTGGTGAAGACATACTGGTCATCTCCCAATAAAGTCTGTTAACAAAAGAAAATATCTATCAATCTTACAAGTTCCAAGTTAATTACAATATGCTTTATTTTTTCAGTCCTAAATTTTTGGTCATTTTTCACACATTGATGACCTAGCAAGGCTAGATTATGACTACTTATTTGGGTTGATTTGGTTTCACTTATAATGACTGTAATACCAAATTAATGCACATGTGTTATCATTAGAAAAAAACACTACTTTTGAATAAAAAAAAACCCCTTAATATACATGTAAAAGGACAATGTGCATGCTACAAATAATCGGTGGTGATTGATTGGACTTTCAATGAGAGTGAGAAAGAGAGAGCTAAATGGGTTTATCATATCAAACATATTAAAAATGTATCTTGTATACTCTACATTGTCCATGAATTCACTGCTAAGATTGAGCCAAGTGTCCAAAAAGGACTTGTCAAATTTGTAAGGGATGCAATTTTGATATTTAAAAAAAAAGAAGAAGGAAGGAAAAACATTTTCCTTTTCCTCTAAATCAATAGAAAAACAATTTAAATAAAGGAGTAAAGGTATACGACATTTGAGTTTGATCCACCTTTTCAAAAACAATGATGAAATTCTATTAAAATGTGCAACTACATGAATAATCAAACTTCTAGATAAATTACAGGCATTGACCTATACATGCAAATATACCACCATGAGAAAAAAGTAGTTGTTTGATTGTCAGCTATTACCCTAATGCACTAAAATTAAACTTTTGTTCTCGCTAATAATAAATTTTATGGAACTCTTGAAATTAGTTTTTAATTAGAAAGTGTAAACTATATATGCGCCTCTAACTCAAACCACCAAGTCCTTTGTATCCCATGAAAACAAAATTCTACCAGTAATTAATGAATTAAGAATTCAACATCTACATGTACTTCTTAGTGAGTCCAGCATCACACATACATATAAATAAAGAATAGCAAACAAAAAGTTGAGAAGCATAAAAGGAGAACAATTCTATCTCTCAATATGAATTATAATGAATAGTTCCTAGTTTTAGTGCTGTATTTTCCTACATCACTAGATCTCGGCTACAACAGTCTTTTAGATTCTTATTTACCTCTATAGGGTGGGCACTCTGGGGATGTACATGTAGCATTAAAACATAGAGACTTCAAATTTAATCAGCTTTTTTAATGACTGTATGACTGCATACACTTAATTAACATTCAATTTGAAAGAATCAGTACCCAAAAGGAAATAAAAATCATTTATTACAAGTTTGAAATCAAGACATGGGCATAAATACTGAGAATACTAGTTTATGACAATTTCAGTATTAAAATGCATAAGAAAACTTTTTCAAGGGATTTTATATAACCATTGAAGTATGGTTCTAAACTCAAATCAAATCTTGTCATTTTTCATTTTGTATGCATAAATTATTTTAACAATTTTTTCTGAAGGAAATTTACATGTAAATTATGTATGAGAAAAAAAGTCATACATCTAATAAAGTTTAATAATGGATAAATATGGAAAGTGATATAATTAGAGGGTTAGCTTCATGCATTGGTGATATATACTGCACAGTGAAATATACACACTGTCATGTGATTGGCATGATGCATGCGATATATTTCAGTGTCTCCGCTGCGCTGCATTTGTGAAGTGATATGTATGTACTTCACCCTAAATTAAACTTATTAAATATCTTATAAAAATGGCATTTAAGATAATTTTTACACTTAGCAGTACTGCATTTTATGAAGTCATGCAAATTTAAAAGCACTTTGATCTAAAGTGTGTTGTAAAGTCTAGGATATATATTTATCAACTTCCTAACTTAGTTTTGAAAATAATTATTGTGCACATTTCCATACCTTTCTTTTAGACTACAGAAGTTTTAAAATGGAATTAAATTTCCTCAAACATTTCCCTGAATTTTTTTTATGTCTTCAAACAATATCTAAAATAGTACACAAGGTTTTATATTCAGCACATGTATAATAATATGTACAATACAATTGGCGCAAGTTATCATTCCGTTAAAGGCAGTGAATTTTTGGAGTTAACTTTGGTCACATGTTAATTTATTGGTCTATGGTCACACTATTAACACACTGTTAATGCCTACCGCACTAAGTTCGTCCTGTTATACAAGGAAAAAAAAAAAACAAATGTATTGAATATATACATTAATAAAATCAACTTCCTAAAGAGTTGTATCTAAATTCTCTAAATAAAAATGTTGAAGCTTGGTTTATGAAATGCATAAAAACTTTCAAAACAGTAAGCTTAATTTTAGTTAAGTCTAACCTATTAAATTATCAAAATTATTCATTTTGTGCATGGCTTGCAAAAAAAAAAAATGCATTAATTTGAAACCATATTAATCAAATTCACAAGTGAAAGATTGGTATGCATATAGAAATGTATAGGACCATCTCAATTTTATATCTCTATGAATAAAGTTTCAATCACATGAATAATGAGCAAGACATTTGTGTGATTTTTCAAATCCCTTACCACCCAAACAAGAGAGGAATATAAAGGAAAGAAAAGCCCATTTATCCCATAGCATTTTATTGACATGAAAAGGGTGATGTTTCAAATGTATCTGCTGTGAGAAATCAAAGAGAAAACCAGTCAAGAAATGTTCCATGATACTTACCACTACGGTCTGGTGAATATGGCAGCCCTCTGGAACATCCAGGTTATGATTTGGAGCACCATCCAGTGCCTGGATCAGAGTGTTCAGTCGCACATTGGAGTTAAAAAAGGCTTGTGGGTGGCGGTACTTCACTACAATATATAGGTTTTGAACAAATAGTCATAACAAGCCATTAATTTGATTTTCATTAAGAAATAAAGTCCTAAAGAAAAAAGTATTTAATGAACAAAAATTATCCTATTCCTTGAAAAGGTAGAAAAATAAAGTGAGCAAACTCATTTCTAATTCAAATTAAACAAAAAGTCTTTGATATCAAGAGAAAACAAGAAGTCTGTGAGCCAATGCTCACTAATAATACCCCCGCTCTGATGTGATATACACAAGTTCAGTTATAGACAAACACAGTGATAATCAGGAAATTGAAATTGGATTAGTAAAAAATGAATCCCATCATATGACATGCCTAAACAAAGATTGTGCTAAAATTTCAAGCATGTGCGATGAGTAGTTGCTGAGAAAACTACGACCAAAATTTGTTATGTATGGTACGGACAGACACACGGATAAACAGGAAGTTGACATCGAATTCGTACAAAAATTAATCCCACCATATGGCATGCCTATACAAAGACTGTGCTAAAATTTCAAGAATCTGCGATGAGTAGTTGCTGAGAAAACTACGACCAAAATTTGTTATGTATGGTACGGACAGATGCACGGATAAACAGGAAGTTGACATCGAATTCATACAAAAATGAATCCACCAAATGGCATGCCTAAACAAAGACTGTGCTAAAATTTCAAGCATTTGCGATGAGTAGTTGCTGAGAAAACTACGACCAAAATTTGTTATGTATGGTACGGACAGACGCACGGATAAACAGGAAGTTGACATCGAATTCGTACAAAAATTAATCCCACCATATGGCATGCCTATACAAAGACTGTGCTAAAATTTCAAGAATCTGCGATGAGTAGTTGCTGAGAAAACTACGACCAAAATTTGTTATGTATGGTACGGACAGACGCACGGATAAACAGGAAGTTGACATCGAATTCGTACAAAAATGAATCCCACCAAATGGCATGCCTAAACAAAGACTGTGCTAAAATTTCAAGCATCTGCGATGAGTAGTTGCTGAGAAAACTACGACCAAAATTTGTTATGTATGGTACGGACAGACGCACGGATAAACAGGAAGTTGACATCGAATTCGTACAAAAATGAATCCCACCAAATGGCATGCCTAAACAAAGACTGTGCTAAAATTTCAAGCATCTGCGATGAGTAGTTGCTGAGAAAACTACGACCAAAATTTGTTATGTATGGTACGGACAGATGCACGGATAAACAGGAAGTTGACATCGAATTCGTACAAAAATGAATCCCACCATATGGCATGCCTAAACAAAGACTGTGCTAAAATTTCAAGCATTTGCGATGAGTAGTTGCTGAGAAAACTACGACCAAAATTTGTTATGTATGGTACGGACAGACGCACGGATTAACAGGAAGTTGACATCGAATTCGTACAAAAATGAATCCCACCATATGGCATGCCTAAACAAAGATTGTGCTAAAATTTCAAGCTTCTGCAATGAGTAGTTGCTGAGAAAACTGCGACCAAAATTTGTTACGGACAGACAGACAGACAGACACACAAGGGTAAAACAGTATACCCCCCTCTCCTTCGGAGCGGGGGTATAAAAATCTTACATCCTTTGACTTCAAAATCCCTCTTGAGGGCTCCAGAGGACAGCCAAAAGTCCACCATGGCACATAGACTTTGCTGGTCATAGAAATCTGTCACATAACTACCATACACAATCTGTCAACAAAATCAAGAAACTCAATTCAGTGAGGGAATGAAAAAGCTATGCTGTCACATTTTATATTTCTAGTCATGAGAAGTTTAGTTTGTAAAGCAATTTAAGGCAAAAGAAAGTGCAGAAAAGTCTTACAGCATGAGCCTCTTTAATAAAGTTTATTAATTTAAGTTTATTGTAAAATATAAACATTCACAGTATTCTTTTATCTTATCTGAGTATGAAACCAAGACGTTCACCTCTGCAACCATGTATCTGATGCCATTGTAAGAGACAGGTCTTGGCATCTGGGATCCATCTGGAGCCACACAGTTCAGTGGTTCCTTAAACTCAGTCTGGACTATTGCCAGGGCCTCCTGCAAATGAAAGAACAGGTTGATTTAAAAGTGCAATCTTGGTAAGAAATTGGTAAAGTATGTCAGGAACTGTGCCATTTAGGTCTTACATGGACTGGTACCATTCATTTCTTACCTGTAGACAGTTGTAGCCAATACTGTAGAAGTCCTGGGGACAGTTCCACCCTCCCTGACCAAACCTGGCCCTCAGCTGAATAGCAGCATGGAGGTAACACAGATTGTGTAGCATCACCGGCCACTCAGGTCTGGAGGACTGGCGCAGGATGTCTGGTTCAAACCAGGAGAAGGAACGAATCATGCTGTCCTTCATCACCTGTGTAAGTCAAAATATACAAATTACAGTAATAACACTTGTCTAATCATGATGTTGTGTATTCCAAAATATTGCCTTTTATGATGTTAACTTAAAGTCCTTTTCAATATATTCAACTGTTTGAAATGTTTTCCAATCTGGAATCTTGTCTAATCCAGGTATTTTTTATGGAACCAGTGGTGTCCAGATTAGACAAGTTTTACTGTACAACCTAAATAGTCTTTAGTTTATTATTTATTTCTAAATGTATTAATTCAATTCAAAAGGTTGTACTCTTTTTAACCAATATAGCTGACCTTTGGTGTGTCCACCACAGCTTTAATAGAATTCTGTAGCAGCCTGACTGGGATAACATTAGGGTCTGCCTGACTGGCCACCCAGACACGGAATCCCTCAGGGTTTGGCTTTTCTGCCAGGAAGGACTCCAGACTGTTCAGGACATTGGGGGCATTATGAGCATGGTGTATGTAAACCCAAGATCCCTTCAAAAATAGAGAAAAAGGAAATCATAACTTTCATTATGTAGTAGTTAATTGTGTAAAATATGAACAGATCAGTAATTCATCAACTTTTTAATGATGTAATAAAATACTGTAGATTCCTTATTTTACGCGAGTACTTATTATCGCGAAATGACCCAAGGGCGTCAAATCGCGAGAATAATAATTCGCGAATGGTTGATTTATCTAGAGATTTTACATACATTAAAGCACCATAAAAATAAAAGCGAGTAATTTTATTTCGCGAGCGATGCTTCTCGCGTAATTACGCGATAATTTATTCCTCGCGTATATTTAGGAATCTACAGTAATCTTCTCCTCACCTCACTGACTGCCTTTCGTATGACCTTTCTGACCTTGCTGCGTGTAGCCTGGGAGTTATCTGTCACTGTGATCATGTGACGCTGTGCTTGCTTACGATTGGAGAAATCAATAAACCGGCTCTGGGCTGCCTCCGCCTCAAAGGTGTAGAGCAAGAGGATGGGGAGGGACAAGGTAGAAGGGGGGACTGTGGCACTCTGTTTGTACATGGCTGACAGGTCAAGTCCCATGTCTCCATAGTATCTGTAACAGGAATTTACAGCACAATATTAGTATTTTGGAGATTTAATGCATTGACAACAGTCAATATTATTTTTTTTTAAATTGAAGTAGAATACTGCAATTTAAGTTACGTTTCAGTGAGACTGATAAATTAAGTCGACATTTGCATGCAAACAAAGAATAACTTCTTAAGATGGTGCTACTGAGTTCCCACCAGTGGTTTGGAACTTCCCCCAAAATAGCCAAATAAATAGAGTAACATCAGACAGAATGTGAAGCCTTTTCCATTACAATCTTTTGACATGCACTCAGACAGCACAATATCTAAAGCATACATTAGACTCCAGGAGCATTTTAGCTCTACTGTCACAAAGGGAAAAAAAACTTTTTCATTTTTTCCAGACAAAGGTTAGATAAAAGAAGCCTGGGATAAAATTTAAAGCTGAAAGCAGGAATATTTTCTCATAAAATATATTTTTTGAAATATTGCCTCTCATGTTTTTTAAGGCCTATTCTCTCTGTTAAATTTTGAACAGTGCCTCTATTATTAATATGCTAATTGATTTTTTTTTAATTAATCAGGTTTGAAATAATCCATAATCAATTTGCTGATTTAAACCCTTATAAGACAGTGAAGTATTTCATTAAAGAATTATGTGAAAATTATCAATTATTTCATTAGATCTATTGATCAAAATCTGCTAGCTATGACATAAAAAATATATTCTGGCTTTCATCTACAAAAAATTCAAACTCTGCAAGTAAAATCCTGAAAAACAACACAATAGCAGACACAAGAGAGATGCTATGAATTCTGGGAAGGCACAGAGAACTCTGGAGGGTTGTGATTGGCCTTCTCCCATGCTAGACACAACCGGCTTACCCTAAAAACTCCTGTTCTGGACCTTGTGGGAAGCTGACAGAAAAATTACACCAAGTTTAGTTGATAAAATGTCAGTCAATCTACAGATGCAAGCTAACATTGAAATCTTAAAGTACTACAATTTTTGCCTATAATTAATTTTATATTACAAGGAATATATAATTATATATAATTAATTTAATATTGCAAGGAATTAAAATTTTCCCGAATACAAATAATGAAGGTGTCAAATTTCATAGATGTCAAGAACTGAAAAGATAAATTTTTTTGTATCATTGTATCTGATAGTGTGGTTTCCCTGTAGAATTAAAAAAAAAATTCTTAATTCTATCTTTAAAAATTGGACATCAATGTTTCAAATTTCCGTAATTCTATGAAAATGTATTCAAAAAACATCCATTATTTTTTTGTTAAGAACATACTTCAATAAAAAAAATTCTGATCAGCACAACAAGTTTCAAATTGTGATCACAATTCAAAATTCATTAATTGATTAATTCAATTAAATCTGAAAAAATCACATGACGAAATCAGTCTGTTTTGCACATCATTTCCTCCACCAAAATTTCAAACCACTTCGGGTTATCTTTTTGTGCAATCACATACCCACTATATTCCTTCTTCAAATTTACATTAAACCAGCTAGAAGTATACACATCAATTTCAAATAATTTTTTGTTGTTTTCATTTTTCTACGATTGCATGGATTCAAGGGGATATACTTAAAATCATACACTGCTAATTTGATATGAACACATTTTATCACTACTATAAAATATAAGTAATAGTAACTACTTTGTGCTAAGTTGTAGACATTCAGTAAAAATCTACAGTTCCTGGGTAATTATGAACTAATCTTCTAAATAGATTAATTGATGCTTACATAGAAATTGAATGAGAATTAAAAACTTAAAATAAATCGAAATGTGCAAGATGGGAATACACATCATTTGTAAAGGGACATAACTCACTTCTTTCCAAGAACCCTCTGTATAAACACAGTGGAAGCCTGCATCAGTCGGTCACTTCTGACCGCTCTGACCACCAGAAGACGTTTCATGGGAGCGAAGTCCTTGCTGTCCATCTTGTCGGGCAATGGCATATTCTCTGGTTCTTTCTCTACATTGTCACACAGCATCCTCCACTCCATCTCTCGTCCATCCTTCGGCATTCGTTCAAACTTCTCCTGGAACCATTCAAAGTGAGTGGCCAGAACCTGGAGGTTGTGGAACTGATCGTCGTGCATCCAGTCAAATGGTTTCTTCATCTGGACAATCTTGCTGTCTGGTGGCTGGGTGTAGCCCAGTTTTGTCATGACAACGGAGCTATAGTTGGGAGATACTAGGAATTCACGTTCTCCTGGACCAATGTTACCCAGGGAATCTTCAACCTAAAATGAGTAAGTTTTTACACAGGTTTAACAAATTATGCTTCAATCCCTGCTTAAATCCCCCTCCCCCTAAAATGCAAAAAATGCAACACTTAATGGTTAATTTCCATGGATCTGAAATGAGCATAGTTCTATTTCTTAAAATTTTGATAACTTTGATGTTACCTCTATAGCCAACAGCAGTGTGAAGATGAATCTATCTCTCTCTAGCAGTCCTCTAGCAAATGTGGTATAGGCCATATACGTAATCTTCTCCAGGGTTTCCTCTGCTCTCTGGGCTCTGTAAGACATGACAACTTTTATATTTTTCCCATAACACTCTAAAAAGCAAGTTCTAAAGGACTGAATTGGAGCATCAAACATAAACCCTAATGAGTCATCCAGCTTATATTTCAACTAGAGAAAGGTGTATCATGCAAATTCATGCTGGAAATGCAAAAATCTCCAACCTGGCAAGAAAATATAATTAAAAGTATTGCATGCAGTTCAAAAAACAGAAATAAAGTTTAAGTACAGATCAACCCTGTTCTTAAGAAGAAATTTGTGATAGTCATTTCGGGATGAAATGTACATGCTAATAGTTTTCTGTCATATAACTCAGTACATATTGAACAAAAGTCATGCATTTGACATTTTCCACCCAAAATTTTCAATAAGGGTTGATTTGTACATGCATTTTATTTTCATGCATAAAATAAAATTCAACTGAAACTTTTAACATTTCTGAACCATTATAGACTTACTCGAACCCCAACACAAGCCACCTATTAGATATCGGAGTGAGTTGTTGACTGTTATAAAGAATAGGAAACTATTGGCATGCACATATGACAAGATTACTGATTAATACAACAAAATTGAAAATCTGATACATATATGTACATAATCCCTGCGAATCAGTTTGAGCAGAGACATTCGATTTGTAATTACCATTTAAAAATGATAGATTAAATTTGTGGGGATATTGCTGTTTGGACTGAGAAAAATTTAGTAAATTTAACACTAAAAGAAAAATTCCAAAATTTATTCTTAATTTTATAGTTACACTTGGATATTAACTATTTTGAGACAATACCATTTGGATTTCATACTCTTATGCTTTTGTACTTCAGCTTTCCAAAAAAACTCTGAAAAATCACATTTACATTTTTTTGAAGATACATGTATTTTATATAGAACAAATGACATGATGTTGGAGGGGGGATGGGGACACACCTTTCAGAATGAGCAATAGCAGCATCATACAGTTGTTCAAACTGAGCATAGGAGACCTGGTACAATGGGTTCACTTCTCTCATGTACTGCATCACATGGAAACACACAGCACCACGCCGAGCAAACTCACGAGACAGTTCACGGTTCCTAGTGTTGGTGGCTTCGTTAGACTCAACTCGCTCTTGGCTTCAAGAATTCATGTTTAAAATATTAATCTTACGTAAACATTTAAAAAATACTTTCCAAACATATAAACAACTTTTAATTACCAACATTCCCTCTTTTAATTTTGAAAGGGGGGATTGGAATTTCACAAACAAGAAGAAAAGGTGATTACCTATCCAAAGTTTCATCATACTGTTTCTTGAGCTCAGCCAGTTTTTTGGTGGCGGGGAGTTCATTCATCAGTCTGATGTCACTGGACAGACTCTCTAACATTGATTTTTCAAGCTTCTCCATCAACTCCAAGTTTTCTTTTCTCTCCTTTTTATTAAAAAGAACAAATTTGAACCAAACACAAATTTTAACATGTTACAAAACTGTGAATAGCTTCAATAACTCAAGTTTCTATTCTGAATCTGACCATACCTGGAGTAGAGACACTCTCTCCTCCTGTAGTTTGGATTTCTCCTGGTAGATGAACCTGTCCAGTAAGGTTTCCTCAATGTCAGAACGAGACCGCTGGAAGTAGATCACAGAGGTATAGGCTGCCAGGTGTGGTGGCACAATGTGTGGCTCCACCGTGGTGTGAAGGAACAGGCGGAAACGTGGATCACACTCCACTTCATGATCCTCCACCTAAAATAGAGGATCAATTAATGTAAACAATACACATTAGAGCAAGAAACCTCAGAGTCTGAACTCCATCTGTACAAAATATTGGTAAAATTCAAGCAACTTACTGTGGAATCATTTAAATTCGTGGGGGTCAATGTTAGTGGGCAAGCAAAATTTTATTGGTTTGTGGGGATGTAATTTCGTGGGCAGCTCATCTATTTGGTAGATTTAATTTATCAGTACGTTGACAAAATAGTTGTTCGTGGGGATGTAAATTCGTGGGTAAGGGTTACCCACGAAATCCACGAACATTGATCCCCCACGAACAATGATGATTCCACAGTATTTTACTTACAGTGATTTTGAACTTGGCTTTGCCATTGATGAAATGTTTACAGCTCTGTATAGCATCCCTGAAGCGTTTGTCCTTGGCAAGTTGCTTTGTGTCACAATCTGTCACCAAAAGAGGACAGCCCTCAGCAAGACAGTTCTCAAACTGAGAACGGATCTCCTACATACACAGCATACAATATAATATAACATCATCTCACTATCTTCTCAATTATAATTCTTTATATGCTTTGACTGGTCTTGCCATATTACTGTGCAATTTTATCAAAGCCATTTTTATAACAAAATCTTTTGATGGAAGTCAAAATGTTACTACACGATCAAACTCTTTAATCTGAGAAGCTCTTAAAATTGAGTAAAAAGAAGCTAAGAGACTTTAATAGCGATTCTCTGTAACCACTTAAACTTCTTTGCCACGCATGGTCACCGATTTTGATGAAACTTTGCCCATTATTACAACTTGACACCAGAAACATATATCAAATAAAATTTCGTTGCTATGTGTCTTGGTTGCCATGGTAACAGCCAGAAAAGTTGAAAAAATTGAGAATTTCAGCTACTTTGAATCTTTATTAAGCCTTAATAAAGAATAAGAATAACAAACAAACCATTCTCCCCAAAACCTGACACCTTGTTGCCACTTATGCTATAAAGAAACTATTTAGAATTTATCTCTAAGTAAGTGGTAACCATGGGTACATTTGGAATACATTTTAGATGCTGAAAAATGCAGAAAAACGCTCAATATTCACTAATGATAGGTGTTAAATGATCAAACTCAATCAACAACCTAAGAAAAAAACAATAAAAATATTTGACCTTAAGTAATTAGGTATTGGCAATATTATTCTAAAAATAACTTTCATGGTTACCATGGTAACACAGTGTTACCATCCAAAATGCGTTGCTAAGATTGGGTTAATGCTACTATCTTCAGGAAAAACAATAAATTTCATGACTGGCACATATATATCCTTAGGACCTTGCAACACCGACAACATAAGAAAAATTGGGATTAATTTTACTTTGCAGTGTAACCATGGAAACAATGTACCAGTTGTTTTAAGTGATATTTTTTTGCTGCCTTAGGAATTTACTTCTTTTTATTCAAGAAACACATTATTTGACTCACCTTGAATAGTACTTATCTGGTAAAACTAAAGTTGAATATCATATATTGATAACGTTTGTTGAAAAATACAACACTGTTGCTATGGTAACCAAGAAGGGAAAATGTTCAATTTTGTTAATTTTATATCAATATTAAACCCTATGTGCCAGCTTTTTGCATCCAGTTAGAGATTGAGTGGCAGTCAAAATTGAAAGTCAGATTAGTTGTTCATAATTACCACTCATAAAAGTTTTGGGAATCTACATACAAGGGTACGTATCCAAGGAAATAGAATATTATTCAGATTTTTATGCATATTTTTCCGGCTTATTTCCATAGCAACGCTCTATTTAAAGAATTGAATTTGCATTTTTTGAAATGTGAGAATTAGGGTCACATGAACATCTTTAAAAATTGATCATTAGTTATATAGAAATATGCTTTTTAAAAAGATAGGATTAGATTTAATCACTAAGAGAGTAAATTTAAAATCCCTTCTTGGTATTAAACCATGGCAACCATTGCCAACCTATAAGAAATATCATATTTCTTCCATGGTTTATGTTACAAGGATCTTTTGTCTATTATTTGCTTGTATTTCAACCTATAATTTTTTTTTTATTCTTAAGTGTACGATGTTATAAAATTAAATGAGCAAAATTATTACTTTTGAATACTTTGTTTCCATAGTAACATATGTAATAGTTGATTTACCAAACATGTTTATCATGCATTTAAGACATCAGGCCTTCAACTTTCAGAAACAACCATTACCACTTGTTTGCTTTGCTGCAAACGTTAACTGTGGGACTCTGAACATGTTGAAAAATGCCATTTTTCAAACTTTAGAACATGTTGCCATGGTAACCATGTCACGTAGCAACCAATTTCTGCCTGATTTGAGTTTACGGTATCAAAGACTTTTATCATAGAGAGTTTGGAGAAATTCTGAGACTATGCGTGCCACAGCTTCTATATAAAAGTTCAAGTCGTTACAGAGAATGGCTCTTAACACTCCTAAACCTTTGTATTAAACCAAAGAGATCACAGGTTAAATGTATAAACTGTATAACTCACCGAATATTTAACCTCCACAAGTCCAGTGTCACCATAAAAGCTTCTGAGCCAGTCTAAGACGTGACTGGTGGGGTCACAGATGAGGGGCCAGGCCACCATGCTGTCACTCTGCATCAGGAAACAGGCATTCTCCAGCATCAGCTTGGTGGTGGACAGTCTCATGGTCTCCATTTTGATCACATCCATCTGTAAATTAGTCACTTTAACTAATTATGTGTGACAATGATTCAGTTACAGTCAAACCTTGTTATCTCAAACTCGATGGGACTGAGAAAAAACTTCGAGATATCCAATGATTCGAGATATCAGGGGTAAAATACTTAAAGAATATGTGGTTGGGACTTCCAAATCACTTCAACATATACATGGTGTTTGAGATAAAGAAATTCAACTGCAGAGTTAGAGTTGGGAGATAAACATGTTGATGAAAATTTCAGGAAAATTCATGAAGGTCCACTCATTTTTTCCAAATCTATTCACAATATGTAAACTACTTATCTGGAAAATAATTGATAAGAATTTATTCCACTTTTACTTCCTGTGAACCGGACAGACACAAAATTTTAATTTATTATATTTCTTCTGCAGTTTGACTAATACTTACTGGCTTGTACAGAAAGTCGATAAGCTCCATATTTCTGAACAGTTTATTCCGAGGCATGGGCAGACCATGGAATTCACACACTTGCATAAAGAACTCTCCCATTCTATTCCTGCAAAATTAATATGATACATGTATATATGTATTAATTGTAAACACTAAGAAATGCCAACTTAATGACCAAACTATAACACCATTGTATAATTATATATTAATTATTTTCATAACTCTACTATATGATATAATTAAAATTTTACATATTCAATTCTACATATCCTACCAAATGTTAGCCAATGTGAAATATAAACATGTACAATCAACAATCTAATCAATTTTCTAGACTTATGATCTTAAAAAATGAGATATTTCAGTTGTATACATCTTCATATTATGACTGGATCCGATGTATTTCCCTGTCATTAATTGATTTAATAGTAAATATGACAAATTCTATTTAATTTAAACACCAAAAATTAAATTAATTTTGATTATATCATCAAAATTATACAACAATTATTTTTGTAGAGGAATGTTCCGTTCTGTACCTGACGTCTATATTGGCGGGACCACAGTAGGCGAGGAATGCCGCGGCTGACAGACAATTAGCCAACATTAACTCGTTACAATCATTCTCCTTTACATGCTTCCTCCATGAAGCTTCCTGGGGCTTTAGGCTGGATAAAAAAAAGGATCATTTCAGTACAGTCTTATGACAGGTAACTTCAGCCACCTTATGTTATTTATGCAATAAATTTTCCAAGATATTGGAAAAGGACTGATGAAAATCAAATCTACCATAATGATTATCAAATTTCCAAAAACAAAACAAACTTCAAACTTCTACACGTTCTAAAAAGAGTTTTCTGAGCTATTCACCAAATAAATTTAGGTGTAATATCTTTTATCTTATGAATAAAAGAATAGTTTTTAAAAAATTGAATGCATCATTCAATTATAAAAACTGAGCTTTGGCCAAGAATAAGGAAGTTTTTTTTTTTTTTTAAATTTGATAACACACAGACAAAGATGCTGTTTTTAAATATAATCATGAACCTATTAACTTGAACTTAATTAAAAACAAGAGGCCCAGGGGCCACATCGCTCACCTGAGCACTATGGCTAGGAAAAAGCAGAAATCAGTTCAGTCTTGAAAGGTTGAAAAGTTTTAATATAAAAGTGGTTCGGGGTGGGGGTGGGGGGTGGGGGGTGGGGGGTGGGGGTCATGAATTGAACAAATTTGAATCTACATTATCTGAATATCCTTCCATTCAAATATGACCAATCATGGCTTTGCTGTTCTTGAGTAGAAGATTTTTAAAGATTTTTCGTATATATTCCTACGTAAAACTTTGATCACCCATTGTGGCCCCGACCGACCCCCAAGGGTAATGTTTGAACAAACTTGAATGTACACTATCTAAGAATGCTTCCATATAATATGACCAATCATGGCTTTGATATTCTTAAAAAATAGTTTTTTTTAAAGATTTTTACTATGTATTCCTATGTAAAACTTTGATCGCCCATTTTGGCCCCACTCAACCCCCGGGGGTCATGAATTGAACAATCTTGAATCTACACAACCTGAGGATGCTACCATATAAATATGACCAATCATGGCTTTGCTGTTCTTGAGAAGAAGATTTTTAAAGATTTTTCCTATATATTCCTACGTAAAACTTTGATCGCCCATTGTGGCCCCACCCGACCCCCGGGGGTCAAGATTTGAACAAACTTGAATGTACACTACCTGAGGATGCTTCCAAGTAAATATGACCAATCATGGCTTTGCTGTTCTTAAGAAGATTTTTAAAATTTTTTTTATATATTCCTATGTAAAACTTTGATTGCCCATTGTGGCCCCACCCGACCCCCGGGGGTCATGATTTGAACAAATTTGAATGTACACTACCTGAGGATGCTTCCAAGTAAATATGACCAATCATGGCTTTGCTGTTCTTGAGAAGAAGATTTTTAAAGATTTTTCCTAAATATTCCTATGTCAATCTTTGATTGCCCATTGTGGCCCCACCCGACCCCTGGGGGTCATGATTTGAACAAACTTGAATCTACACTACCTGAGGATGCTTCCACATAAGTTTCATATTTTCAAGCACAGTGGTTCTTGAGAAGATTTTTTAATGACAGGGTTCGACACTAACGTTAGTCCGTTAGTCTCAGACTAATACATTTTCATTCGGACTAATAAAATATGTGGCTAATTAGTCCGAACGGACCAATAAAAAATTCTGAAAAAGAATATGAATAAATTACCGATGTCCGATTCTCGACAACTTTTACTAAAAAATCCCGCGTGTATTTTTAGATTTCTAGCTTTTGGCGGGAGTTATGCAATACCGGGTCAATTCAGCGCTTAATTTTTCGACTGATCAATATGAAGTATAAGGTTTTAGCGATCATGATTTAGTATGACACTTTTAAGAAAGATGTTGGACGTTTTGGATGAAATGTAAAGATAAAACAAGAGGCCCATGGGCCACATCGCTCACCTGAGCACATTGGCTAGGGGAAAAAAAAAATCAGTTTAGAATTGAAAAGTTAATGGGGGGGGGGGAGGGATTTGAATTTTAAACTACCTGATGATGCTTTCATATCAATATAACAAATGGCATTGCTGTTCCTGAGCAGAAGATTTTTTCCCATATATTCATTTCTAAAATTTGATCCCCCATTGTGGCCCCACCCTACCCCCGGGGTCTCTCATTTGAACAAATTTCATTCTACACTACCCAAGGATGCCTCCATATCAATTTTACTAATCATGGCTTTTCTGTTCTTGAGAGAAAGATTTTTTCCTGTATATTTCTATGTAAAACTTTGATCCCCCATTGTGGCCCCACCCTACCCCTGGGGGTCATGATTTAAACAAACTTGAATCTGCACTACCTGAGGATGCTTCCATATAAATATGACCAATCATGGTTTTGCTGTTCTTAAGAAGAAGATTTTTTTAAAATATTTTCCTATATATTTCTATGTAAAAATTTGATCCCCCATTGTGGCCCCACCCTACCCCCAGGGGTCATGATTTGAACAAACTTGAATCTGCACTACCTGAGGATGCTTCCATATAAATATGACCAATCATGGCTTTGCTGTTCTAAAGAAGAAGATTTTTAAAGATATTTTCCTATATATTTCTATGTAAAACTTTGATCCCCCATTGTGGCCCCACCGTACCCCCCAGGGTCATGATTTAAACAAACTTGAATCTGCACTACCTGAGGATGCTTCCATATAAATATGACCAATCATGGCTTTGCTGTTCTTAAGAAGAAGATTTTTAAAAATTATTTTCCTATATATTTCTATGTAAAACTTTGATCCCCCATTGTGGCCCCACCCTACCCCCGGGGGTCATGATTTGAACAAACTTGAATCTGCACTATCTGAGGATCCTTCCATATAAATATGACCAATCATGGCTTTGCTGTTCTTAAGAAGAAGATTTTTTAAAATATTTTCCTATATATTTCTATGTAAAATTTTGATCCCCTATTGTGGCCCCTTCCTACCCTTGGGGGTCATGATTTGAACAAACTTGAACCTAAACTACCTGAGGATGCCTCCATATAAATATGACCAATCATGGCTTTGCTGTTCTTAAGAAGAAGATTTTTAAAGATATTTTCCTATATATTTCTATGTAAAACTTTGATCCCCCATTGTGGCCCCACTCTACCCCCAGGGGTCATGATTTGAACAAACTTGAATCTGCACTACCTGAGGATGCTTCCATATAAATATGACCAATCATGGCTTTTCTGTTCTTAAGAAGAAGATTTTTAAAGATATTTTCCTATATATTTCTATGTAAAATTTTGATCCCCTATTGTGGCCCCTTCCTACCCCTGGGGGTCATGATTTGAACAAACTTGAACCTAAACTACCTGAGGATGCCTCCATATAAATATGACCAATCATGGCTTTGCTGTTCTTAAGAAGAAGATTTTTAAAGATATTTTCCTACATATTTCTATGTAAAACTTTGATCCCCCATTGTGGACCCACCCTACCCCCGGGGGTCGTGATTTGAACAAACTTGAATCTGCACTACCTGAGGATGCTTCCATATAAATATGACCAATCATGGCTTTTCTGTTCTTAAGAAGAAGATTTTTTAAAATATTTTCTTATATATTTCTATGTAAAACTTTGATCCCCCATTGTGGCCCCACCCTACCCCCAGGGGTCATGATTTGAACAAACTTGAATCTGCACTACCTGAGGATGCTTCCATATAATTATGACCAATCATGGCTTTGCTGTTCTTAAGAAGAAGATTTTTAAAGATATTTTCCTATATATTTCTATGTAAAATTTTGATCCCCTATTGTGGCCCCTTCCTACCCCTGGGGGTCATGATTTGAACAAACTTGAACCTAAACTACCTGAGGATGCCTCCATATAAATATGACCAATCATGGCTTTGCTGTTCTTAAGAAGAAGATTTTTAAAGATATTTTCCTATATATTTCTATGTAAAACTTTGATCCCCCATTGTGGACCCACCCTACCCCCAGGGGTCATGATTTGAACAAACTTGAATCTGCACTACCTGAGGATGCTTCCATATAAATATGACCAATCATGGCTTTTCTGTTCTTAAGAAGAAGATTTTTTAAAATATTTTCTTATATATTTCTATGTAAAACTTTGATCCTCCATTGTGGCCCCACCCTACCCCCGGGGGTCATGATTTGAACAAACTTGAATCTGCACTACCTGAGGATGCTTCCATATAAATATGACCAATCATGGCTTTGCTGTTCTAAAGAAGAAGATTTTTAAAGATATTTTCCTATATATTTCTATGTAAAACTTTGATCCCCCATTGTGGCCCCACCCTATCCCCAGGGGTCATGATTTGAACAAACTTGAATCTGCACTACCTGAGGATGCTTCCATATAAATATGACCAATCATGGCTTTGCTGTTCTTAAGAAGAAGATTTTTTAAAATATTTTCCTATATATTTCTATGTAAAACTTTGATCCCCTATTGTGGCCCCACCCTACCCCTGGGGGTCATGATTTGAACAAACTTGAACCTAAACTACCTGAGGATGCCTCCATATAAATATGACCAATCATGGCTTTGCTGTTCTTAAGAAGAAGATTTTTAAAGATATTTTCCTATATATTTCTATGTAAAACTTTGATCCCCCATTGTGGCCCCACCCTACCCCCTGGGGGTCATGATTTGAACAAACTTGAATCTGCACTACCTGAGGATGCTTCCATATAATTATGACCAATCATGGCTTTGCTGTTCTTAAGAAGAAGATTTTTAAAGATATTTTTCTATATATTTCTATGTAAAATTTTGATCCCCTATTGTGGCCCCTTCCTACCCCTGGGGGTCATGATTTGAACAAACTTGAACCTAAACTACCTGAGGATGCCTCCATATAAATATGACCAATCATGGCTTTGCTGTTCTTAAGAAGAAGATTTTTAAAGATATTTTCCTATATATTTCTATGTAAAACTTTGATCCCCCATTGTGGCCCCACCCTACCCCCAGGGGTCATGATTTGAACAAACTTGAACCTAAACTACCTGAGGATGCCTCCATATAAATATGACCAATCATGGCTTTGCTGTTCTTAAGAAGAAGATTTTTAAAGATATTTTCCTATATATTTCTATGTAAAACTTTGATCCCCCATTGTGGCCCCACCCTACCCCCAGGGGTCATGATTTGAACAAACTTGAATCTACACTACCTGAGGATGTTCCCACATAAGTTTCATCTTTCCTGGCCCAGTGGTTCTTGAGAAGAAGATTTTTAAATGATGCCATTATTTTTTCACTAATTCCTAATTATCTCCCCTTGAAAGGGGGCGTGGCCCTTCATTTGAACAAACTTGAATCCCCTTCACCCAAGGATACTTTGTGGCAAGTTTGGTTGAATTTGGCCCAGTGGTTCTTGAGAAGAAGTCGAAAATGTGAAAAGTTTACAGACGGACAGACGGACGGACGGACAGACGGACGACGGACAAAAAGTGATCAGAAAAGCTCACTTGAGCCTTCGGCTCAGGTGAGCTAAAAAACGAGATCGGGAATACGATCGTACTTGCTGATTGCGAGATTTCATGAATCTGTGGAATAATATATTTCACGTAAATACTTTGTTTATTTCAAAAAACAATACGTATATTAATTGTCATGTTAAATTAATGTTAAAAAACATTGATGTTTCTTTTTTTTTTGACGGACTAATAAAATCGCGTGCGGACTAGTAAAAGTAATGAAGCACTAGTCCGGCTGGACTAAAGCCTTAAAAAGTTAGTGTCGAACCCTGAATGATGCCATTAATTTTTCACAAATTCTTAATTATCTCCCCTTGGAAGAAGGCATGGCCCTTCATTTGAACAAACTTCAATCCCCTTTACCGAAGGATACTTTGTAGCAAGTTTGGTTGAAATTGGCCCAGTGGTTCTGGAGAAGAAGTCAAAAATGTGAAAAGTTTACAGATGGACAGACGGACAGACAGACGGACAGACGGACTACAGACAAAATGTGATCAGAAAAGCTCACTTGAGCCTTTGGCTCAGGTGAGCAAATGATGATTTTTTCTTATTAAAATTACAAACTTAAATCTCACCTATCCACCATTTCAGTGGCAGCTTTGAGCCGTTCATTCATTGACTGCAGCTCCATTTCTAGGGAGTGTTTCTCCACCACTGACTGGTCAAACTGCTGCTGGAGGCTGTTAACAGTGTCCTGGAGGCTCGGCAGATCAGCCTCGGTGTAGTCAGGCTCGGGCTCAGGTGTAGGGGTTCTGTCCTCTTTTACCTGTAAAAATGTAATTTATACACTCCGGTAAGATATAGAAATATACAAGACATTCTTCTGTGGTGATATGGTGTTAGTTTTAAACATATACAGATCCTTTAACAATGTTATCACAGGTATCATTTTACTTAGTTAAACTTAAAACAATTTCAAATTATTTTCACTGTATTTACTATGTCCTATACATGTATATGCTTTAATTGTTACTAATCCTGATAGTACTTTGCTTGTCTAATGAATAAAGAATTAGCCAATTACATTTATATGCTAAGGGATACATTTTTTAAGGCAATAAACAATTTTAAACCATTAATTAATTACTTATCAACAATTCTAACTCAAGTAATGGAGTTTGAACAGCTCATTATGGATATGTATTGAAATACAGTAAAACAGGTTTATAGTGAAGACAGATATACCAAATCCCTGCTTTTAACAAAATCTGATTTTTTTTTTCATCCAGCATTAAAAACTAACAAATGATTACCCAGACAAAATGAATTACAGATATATAATGAAGCATTTTTAAACATTCCTCCATGATTGTATGACTATGAGACTATGACCATGTTTTACTGTAGCTCTGGAGATTCCAGCTATGCTGAATGGAAATAGTTTACTTGAATAAAAGAGTATCATGATGGCTACAAATACGTGTAAAGTACAAGTTTTCCCGATACTGTTGTCTATCTGAGTCTTATACCTATACATGCAATACGTCTGTTAAAATACTTCTGTAATCATGACTAAGAATTGAATTTTCTTTAAAGAAACCTAATGCATGCTTGTTCCTACAAGTCAATAGATTTTACTATGAAGATATAATAGTGTATATTCCAGTTGATTTTTTTCATGCTAAGAGTATTCCTACAGTGCTAGTAACAACTAAACCTAAAGGACAGGCATGTTGTTGTACAGGTACTCACACTGGAGTGTTCAGTGTCCTCAGACGTTACATAGGATAGATCATCCTTATAAATTAAGTATGTGGTCAATTTCAATTGATATCAATAACAAACATCTTGATACAAACCATGAAACTCAAATAAAACAGGACATTAAAAATATATAACATCAAAAACAAAATCCCTGAAAATGCATACTATATTAGGTATTTCTAAATTCTTTTGCTTTTTCCTTCAGGTTCATTAATTTGGTTTTTGAGAACCTAGCTGTAAAGTTTCTGTTATGTCAAACCAATTTTTTTTAAATATACACCTCAAATTTGTCCACTACAGTACAACACCTATAAATCATCAACTAACATATTACTTATACACAGAACATTTCCTATAGACTATGTTAGAATCTACATCAAAAATGCTGTATTCACTAATAGAATCTAACATCATAAAATAAGTCAAGGACACTTATATTCAGCAGTCTTTTCCTAATTAAACCGTACTTTTTCTAAGGTTACAACTTGTGTCTTTAATTTGTATACAAATTTAAAATAAAAAAATGTCACTTCACATCTAAATTCGAAAGCAAAAAAGGTTGTGGGTTGTGAAGAGAGCGTATGCTGTGAGATAAATCATAAAAGATAAACAAAAAAAATATGTACAAAGGCATTCTACATAATTTCAAATTAAAGCAAAAAACTTCCATGGGAAATTGACCTGCACTTTTTTTGCTTGTCCATACATATAGCTTTTTTCTTGATGGTTGAGTAAATTTTTCACAAAATATGTTGATTTTTTCCATTAAAATTTATCCATTTAAAACAAAATGAGGTGAAAAAAACTGAATTTTTAAAAAAAAAATCTACACATACATTTGTAAATTGAGTTTTTGTTATTATTCATGACCTTGACCTAGATTGAATAACTGTTGACAACAATTTCAAATCAAAGGAACTGAGCTTTTAATTTTCACCTTAACTCATATAATATCAACTCTGTAAATAATAATTATACTTGAAATTTTTTTTACATAAATTAAGTCATGACACATAGAGGATAAGACAAAGACACTGAATTTGATTAGAATATCAAGTATTCGATTTGAGTTGACCTTAAGAAATGTCCTTGGTATTAGAACATGACAGCCTTAATTAATTAAATAAAATTGAAATTGAGTTAAAGATCATGTTGAGACCTGATAATCAAAGCTAGTAAAAATACAGAAAGGTTTAAATTTATAATGAACTGAAAATTAACTTCGCACTTCAGTACTCAATGAAATATACCCAAAAAAATAAAAAATAAAAAAAAAAATCAAGGCAAAGAAAAAGACCAAATTTTGAAGCAGGATTGTGAATTGAAATGTGACGTACCTACAAATACACATCAGCTAAGACATGCTAGATTTGACAACCAAAACACAGCATTGTTTACTTCAGAAACATAAGGTCAAAATTACAAAGCTACAACATAATTTGTTATTTGAGGACATGCCCACAAACCTTTGGCTGAGGAGATGGTGTCATTTCTGACCTCCGGAGCCGCTGTTATGATTGAAAAAAAACATCAGAGTTCACAAGTCACATTAGTTCGTTATTTGTGATATGTATAAATTGTGGTAAAATGTGATTATGTATGAAGTTTACCACCACCAACTGCTTTTAATAATACTTTTGTTGAAAGGAAGAAAAATTAATTGTTGAATCATTCTATGTCTTACGAAATATTTTAACTTTTGAATATTCCCTTCAACATTATTATTAAATAAATCCAATCTTTGATTAATTTTATTATATTCACCAGTTGCCAGGTTTTTTTGCTGTTAATTATTTTTAAAAATACCAAACCTTATTTTTCAAAATGATTATAAAATTAGAAATGTCAAAGAAGAAAAAAAGAAAAATAAAAATAAAGCCAATTTAACAGCTGAATACTCATAACTTTAAAATACAAAAAGCTAATTATTACCCTTTGTCTGCGCAGAAAGGGGGAATTCCTCTATCATATTGTAAGAGAATAAGTTTGTTTTACACAATGATTCTCCATAACTTACAAAGTCTGAATGTACAGAAGTTTGAAAACAAATTGATTTATTTTTTTTTTCACTTTGAGTTAATCTTATTGATATCGATCCTAAATAAGTTGCTGCGTTTAATGATCATAGTTTAAAAATAAAAGGTTGTCACTTACACATAAAAAAATGCCAGTATTTTGCAACATTTATTATAAAGTTGAGCCATACAGTGAAAAAATTAATTCAATTTGCTAAACTGATGAAGAAATAAATCATGAATTTTATTTGTCACAATTGCATTTTTTAAAAATGTCGATTAAGTAATATTACTCATTAAACACAATTATTTTGAATATGTGAGGAAGTGCATTATATTGTGAGAATACACTGTATAAGGTTTAAGGAGATTCTTACCTGCTCTTGGTTCTCTTTCTGTTGACGTTCATTTTCCTCAATCTCTCGTTCCAGCTCATGCAGTTTCTCTAGTGCCACTTTGAGTGGGCCACACAGACGAGTGTACTCAACAATGGCTATAGTGTATTGTACCAGAGTGGCACAGTCTTCACTGCTGTATTTGGCACTGGCAATGGTGATTCCTTTGGTGCCATCTGGTGATGGAGTTCTCTTTTTGGCAGCAAATGTTGTGTCTAAAAGGAAAAATTTTTCAGTAACCTCCATCTCAAGAGCTCAATTAGTTGTATGTGTCTCATAAAATTAAAAATAGTCAAGCTGATCAAAACTGTCATGAACAAAACATTAAACTCAGCTGAGCAAAAGTGTACAGCATATGGCCTTTTCTTTCTTTCAGAAATTTTGTTTAAACATTGAATATCAAAAGGACCTCGATATTTTACATGCAGTAAAGAATACTGTGAAATCATCATTGTTCGTGGGGGATCAGTGTTCGTGGATTTTGTGGGTAACCCTTACCCATGAATTTCCATCCCTATGAACATTGAAACACACATACATTTACATGTAGCACAGTAGAGTTATTTATCTTAATAAAATATGCAAGTTACCCATGAAATTATGTCCCCATGAACCAGTAAAATTTTGGTTATACCTAAGAACACTGACCCCCTGCACAATGATGATTCCACACAGTAGTCTATATACTATACAAGTAGTAGATAATGAGTTGATCCATTATATTCCTCACCCTGTGCATTGTCCAGTAGAGTTCCCTCCCCTGTGATCCCAAGCTGACCTTCTCTGGAGACTGCAAGGTAACTTTCCACAGCTGAAATCAATTAAAGCATTGCATGAACACCATTTTTTTGAGAGGGAAAAGGGGGGGGGGGGGGCAAAGACAACTCTTAAGAATGTAAAGTTTTCTTTTGTCCTATTCACAAGAAATTTAAGCATTTCTTTAAATCATGCAATAGATTGAAATATGCTGTTCATTCTTTCAATATCTCCACCAGAATTTCTCTCATCCTCAATTTTCACAGAGATCCTTAAATTATTGCAATTGATTCCTGCATCTTTTCAGTATTTCAAAATAATGACCACAAAAATTGCAAGCAATTTTTAATTACCCTTTCGAACATCCTCTGATAGGCCATCTTCCCATGATACATTGTGCAACATGTCTACAAACTTGGTGGTGTCACTCATTGTCTGCTGCATAGCCTTCCACTGGGCACGGTCAAACTTGTCACCGGCATCCTTCTTACCTGAGAAATAGAACAAACTGATGCAATTACAAATTCAAATATTGTTTATCTGTTGCTTTGGAAAAGGCAAATGTGGTTGAAATGTGCTTGATTCCAAAATTTGATACCATTCTCTAAAGATTCTTAAAAAGTGTGGTTTTAAATAAAAATGTGCTCATTTATTGACTACACTTCAACATACTTTAAATATTTACTTAAAGGAAATAAAATGTCTGACAGCATAGTCAATCAATGTATTATATACTTTTCACATCAAACCATATATATATACCTGTCACCAACAAAAACTGATAACATTCACACCACCTGTCACCAACATTTTTTCCATTTTTCTTAATAAAACTGAACCATTTCAAATTTTTTTTTTTAATACAAGGTTAATTTTTACACTAAATGTTATCGTATCATATCATTATGTGCCCTTTTATGCCCTTTGAATTAGAAGAGAAACCACTCCTTGGCATGGAAATATAAAATTTGTACTACTTATTTTATTTTTTCAATATCAAAATTTCGAAAAATTTATCCTAATATGTAAAAAATGTATGCAGTCTTAAGCAAAATTTGGTCTTATTTCTAGCTGTGATTACAAAAGAGCATATGGTGCATTTAAACAAAGAATATTCTATCATGTGTATTGCATTCCTCTAAATAAAGAAATAAGAAAATCAAAAAATCAAAAATGCTTTAAAACATAATTAAAGCAGATATTTCACTCTTCTATCAAATATTGAAATAATTAAATTTCATATGCACAGCTCCATGATAAAGAGACACCCATAATTATAGTCTTTTGTGTACTATACAGTCATGTTCATATACTGAATGCTTCAATCTTGCAAAGCATACATACAATGTATACTGTAAATGCCTTTAATTTCACACATTTGATATTTCACAATTTCGTATGTTGATACATTTCACAATGATTTTTAATTTCATGGTCACTGTCGGACTGAATTTCTCTTTACTATTATACATTTTGGAAATTTTTGGCAAATTTGTAAATTATTCTTTAAAAACAACAAAAGTTAGGGTAAATTATTTAAAATGAACATATCCTGGAACTAAATTAAACTCGCCATTGTTACTAACTCAGGTTTCCAATTGATTTTCAGTTATTTACTAATTTTACTGTAATGAAATAGAGATTTTAAAGTGTGTAGATAACTGGTGCACCAATAATGTGTCAACAATATTCATGATGGCTAAATTTTCGTTGAGATTTCTTTGATCACTAAAATAGTAAAATTAAAAACACAGCAATGTATTCTACTTATACAGTATACAAAATGCATATATACCATGTAGTATAAATTACTCTATGGCAAAAGATAGCACAATCAAATACAATTAAGTAGCAGTCAAGACATTAATTCACAAATAATAAATATACAGAAACATATATATAAAACCTTTACTTCATTGTCAGCTAGCTGTTTAATACTTATAATACCTTGTAGGACAGTTCCTGCAGAACTACGCGCTGATTTCTTGCGGTCTGTGGAGAAATGAGAAAACACTGACCCATATCCAGGACAGACAAGTCAACCACATACCAGGGTGCATGATACCAGAAAATGCTACTAAATATTGAACCACCAACAGTGACCAGAGTGAAATACAAAACCTTTTTTTTTCTTATTTGAAATATTCTTGAAAATTAAAGCACATACCTAGTGATAAAAATTTCATAAAACTTTGAACTTTCAATTTAAAAATTTGCAAGTCTAAATTTTCAAAAAAGCATGAAAAGACCAACTTGAAGCCACAATAGCTTTTCTTTGTGTTTTAAAACAACTAGCTTCCTATAATTTGTACATATAAAAGATTGGTGTTTTTCATTAAAGTTCTAGCTTAGTGGTATACAAATCATGCAAGTACCAAAAATATTTCAGTTCAACTGATACAAATTTATTTCTTATTCCAAAATCAATATAACTTTCATGTGAAAATGATAAATAAAATTAATATGAAAGTAATGGATGGATATTTGAAACATAAACCAAAGTAAAATGGGTGTAGATATAAAAGCTATGTATATAGTAGTGAAATTAAAATATTTTTTTCATACCATATCCATACTGGGATTCTAAATTAACACAAAACAATCAGGTGTGAAACAGGTAAAATTAAATATATAATTACTTCTCCCTGCTTACCTAAAACTTACTATTAAAAAAAGGGCACTATTACAGACTTCTAATGCAAACATATTGTAACTATCATATGATAACATGTCTCAATCACCTATATTTTGACATCCCAAAGTTTTTTTTAGAAATAAATTACTGGTATATATTTTAAGTTTTTGACCCCATCCTTCCTTAAATTTATAAAATCCAGGTAAAAAAAAATTTTAAATTATACAATTTATCAATTTCAGCCACTAGGAAAAAAGTTAATATCTATTTACACCCTTCCTTTCAGAAATCCAAGGAAAAGTCCACATCGCTCACTTTTGAAGATCAGAAAAACAGTTTTGTTCCTCCAACCCGATTTCATAAATAAATGAACTAAAAATCTTTGATCCACCCACCTTTTTTCACTCCTATTCTGGTGCTGCTAGAGCTGGAGGACATTCGACTGGACATCTCCTCTTTGCCGGTCAGTTCCCTGGCCTCATACAACCGCTGTGAGGGCAGACGTTTCCCAATCAGTATCATGACCATCTCCATTACCTGTCCCACCAGTACTGGGGGGTTACCGAATCCCCTCAGTCTCTCAATACTGGCTCTGTCCACCTTGCCCTTCCATATCAATACCTGACAATTAATATATACATGTTTAGTAGCATATTCTTCAGAACTGTTACACGACAATAAGTAAAAATCGGTAGAATCAACTTTCACTTTAAACTGTGTTTCTTGATAAAATTTAGGCTAGTAACTGCCAATAAAGGATATGAACCAAAGGGTTCACAATAAGAGTTACACATCACTTGTAGATAACATTATTACAAAATATATCAAGATGTAGCAATAGATATAATTAATCATAATCATTTGTAGGAATTCAGTAGCTAAATTGGAGATATCTTTCCCATCTCACTTGTTGTCTAGCATACTTCAGATTCTGTCTCTCACCTGTTGTCTATCATACTCCAGATTCTGTTTCTCACCTGTTGTCTAGCATACTCCAGATTCTGTGTCTTACCTGTTGTCTAGCATACTCCAGATTCTGTCTCTCACCTGTCTAGCATATTCCAGATTCTGTGTCTTACCTGTTGTCTATCATACTTCAGATTCTGTCTCTCACCTGTTGTCTAGCATACTCCAGATTCTGTCTCTCAACTGTTGTCTAACATACTCCAATCTCCATCTCTCACCTGTTGTCTAACATACTCCAGATTCTGTCTCTCACCTATTGTCTAGCATACTCCAGATTTTGTCTCTCACCTGTTGTCTAGCATACTCCAGATTTTGTCTCTCACCTATTGTCTAGCATACTCCAGATTCTGTCTCTCACCTGTTGTCTAGCATACTCCAGATTCTGTCTCTCACCTGTTGTCTAACATACTCCAGATCCTATCTCTCACCTGTTGCCTAGCATACTCCAGATTCTGTGTCTCACCTGTTGTCTAGCATACTCCAGATTCTGTCTCTCACCTGTTGTCTAGCATACTCCAGATTCTGTTTCTCACCTGTTGTCTAGCATACTCCAGATTCTGTCTCTCACCTGTTGTCTAGCATACTCCAGATTCTGTGTCTTACCTGTTGTCTAGCATACTCCAGATTCTGTCTCTCACCTGTTGTCTAGCATACTCCAGATTCTGTGTCTCACCTGTTGTCTAGCATACTCCAGATCCTATCTCTCACCTGTTGCCTAGCATACTCCAGATTCTGTCTCTCACCTGTTGTCTAGCATACTCCAGATTCTGTCTCTCACCTGTTGTCTAGCATACTCCAGATTCTGTCGACACTCCTCCACCTGTTTCTGGGCCTGGGCGTACTCCTCTTTGGCCACTGCCTGCCGATTCTTCAGCTTGGCCTCCCTCATCTTGTCAAACTCCTTGTCGTAATCGTCGTACTCCTCCTGCAGCAGAAGTTCCTCTTCCTCCTCATCCTCACTCTCTGTCATGTACAGCTTCATGTGGGCTTCCAGGTCTGTGCCCTGGGTGACCCGGGACTTCAGTTTCTCTAATGCTGTGGCTTTGGAAGTCAGCTGCCGCATCAGATTGCTGGTGGTCTTTTTGGCATCATCAAATTTTGTGGTGATGGTTTTGATTGCCTTCTTCATGATTTTTACATCATGACGTGTCTGATCCAAAGTGTTAAGGACTCTCCTGAAAAGAAGAAAATACTTGCGAGCTACATAAACAATGTAAATAAAATGAGTGTTTTCATCTTAGTTTTAATTTAATCAACTGTTCATTTGATTATTTTGGTAAATTTCTCTATCTCAGTTTATTGGGATTTTCTTTTAACACTTTAAAAAAAAAACATTGTTAAATAGAATGGGAGGAAAACTAACTTGAGTTGGTCCACAGTCTCAGTTCTCTCCTGAGATTTCAGATTGTACAGGAACTTAAAGGTCTCCATAAATCTCCTGTAAGTTGTTGGTCCTACGTAAGTCTCATTTTTAGCTTTCATGTCATCTGATCTGTGCTGGAGTCTGAAAAACAAATCAGAGATGGTGAAGTTGTGATCATTAAGAAATCATTCAAACATTAAAAACTTTCCTTCAACTGTGGCAAATTTTCAACCCATTTCTTGCAGGGATGGTAAAATTGTGACTGTTTATCATCATGCATGAACAAAGCATACAGATAACATTTAAGTGTTTTCGCTATCCCGGTTTAAGAACCTTCCTCAAGAAAAACATACAATATATTTTTCTTCAAAGATTGTACTACCAGGAATCCTTTTTTTGAGAAGTTAACTCACAGAATTGCCCCCACAATCAAACAAATGATTAAATCTTAGAGAAACTCACTTGATTCTCTCTTGTAGTATAACCTTGGAATAAGGCAGATTGGGAACCTTGGCTGGTAGGAATTTAACAATTTGTTGATCCTTCTTCTTCTCGACCTTGACCTGATTAATGTTGATCTCCTCACTGAGGTCACCTGCCCAAGGTAACTGTGCACAGTCCCTCAGGACAAAACTGTGGATGTTGGCCAGACATGAGGTCACCTTGTCACTGTGTAAAGAAAAACAAAGAAATAAATAATCTGTAAATCTTCTACAAAGAAATAATTTGATGAGAATATATTTTCTTGCGTTTCAGTGAGTGAACAATTGAGAAAATACATAGGGATTAAATTACAAAAATGTACCTGAGATTTTCAAACTCTTCAGTGAGTTGGTAGCGAGTGATGAAATAAGAGGCCTCTCCCAGCAAGGCCTCTTGAGGCCAGTCACACATCCAATTGATGGCACAGCCACTTAACAAACCAGGATACTGGCTGCAAAAGTTAATCAAAAATAATTCAATTAAGAGAATTTCTCGTGGCTGTAATATTTTTTTCCCAGTATTAATACATGTAATATATTTCCTACAACTTAGAATCTCAAAATGAATACCTTGCAGATATCTTAAGAAGATTGTTCATTGGCTGAAGGCACATCAGGATATGCAAATTACTCTTCACTCTTGCTACAAAGAATTTCATTGGATCAACTGCTAGACTGGGAAACTCCCTCTTCATGGATGGACCAATGGCCTGTTAAAATGATTCATTAATACATTTTATACTAAATGAGGTAGCTGTTGCTCCTTAGCAAAATAATAAAGATTTCATATGCAAGACACGGAACTGTTGGTTCATACAGAAGAATATGTTTATTTCATCTCTAGAAAAGAAAAGTTTATACACACAAGTCCAACAGAAAATTCTATTGAACAAAACTTATGTTTTCTTGGCATGAAGAAAGTTAATATAATCATTAATATGTAAAATGATTTTTTTTTGTGCTCTACTTTGGCCTAATTTTACCTGTAGAAGTCCCTCCATTTCATCATTAGTAAACAGGTGTGGGTACTCCCCACTGATCAGAAGACTGTTGATGGCATCCAGATATACTGGGTCCTCCAAGTCTCGGGCCTTTAACAGGAAAAAATTATACAGGACATTAGCACTATGACCAAGGAAGCTATAAATTGCAACTCCATTCTTACAGTTATAATACCAGCTGTCTAATCTGACACCTTTGCAATCCATTTCACTGCATATTAACTCCAAAATTATTTTAACTCCCACTTTACTATTTTCCATGTTTTTTTACATAATGATTGTGAAATTTGACACCCTGTGTATCCTGATACAAAATTTGTGTCCATATTGTATTAAATAGGTTTACTGTATTTATTAATCAAACACTTTTCTACATGGTCAGTTTTTGTACAAGGGATTAATTTGTGGAAATACTCACAGTGAACATGAGAGACAGGATTTTGCCCTCAGACCCACAGAGTCTTACAGCAGACCTCAATCCATCGAAGAAGTTGCTCCTCTTGGAGGTGTCCATTTTGTGGATGGGGACATCTGCCACATGGAGGGCCAGTTTACACAGGGTGGCCAGGTGTGACCCCACCGCTCCTATTACCAGCATGTTTCCTCTATACATATTATAGAAAAGAACTTGAAATTACTCCAGAACAAAATTTGAAAGAGTCATTATGAATTTTTTTTTAAATCTACAATATCATTCAGATTCAAACTGTAATTTTCATCTACTTTCATGACACACAGGAAATAAAGGGAAATGCTTTATACATCAGTCTATAGCGTAGTGAACTTTACAAAAAAAGAACTAAAACTTATTTGAAGATTTCCATAACTTGACCCATTAATGGTACTTTAATCCATAATTATATTTCAAGTGTTTAACCTTTGAATTTTTAATTACTGACCCATGATGGAAGCTGAGCACCCTGTGCATTCTGATGATGTGGGAGATGATGAAATCAGACAGCATGACATCCAGTCGTACATTTCCAAACTCCTCGTTATATCGAGTCAAGTGAGTGTTAAGACAGCTGTGGACGTCCCTCAAGTTTTCAATAGGTTGGAGAACCACCTAAAACAGTAAAACAATGTTTCTTATTAATAAGTCTACTATCCTCTCTTTGAAGATTGAGTCATTTAAGATTTCTGAGTTCTGTTTGCTGAGTTTCAGAAAGTAAATAGACACTTGATGAGAATTTTCAAAACTGAAATATTGCAATTGAAAATATCCATTTAAAATCCAATTAAAATCAGATGATATATCCCCACAACTTCCCCTGTTCTGTAATGACAGATTTAAATGAACATCAGTATGTGCTCAATGGTGGATCCAAGAGTTGTCTCCTACCTTGATGTGTTTAGTGCCAACAGATGTCACAGGCCTCTGGTACAGCCTGGCATCAGTGGGGAAGGTCACAAAGTACTCCATGAATGGGTCCTTCAGGTTGGGCCAAGCCTGCAAAAAAAATTCAGTCACATATTTTTTTTCACCTGTATATTATAACAACCAAAGGAAACTTTTTTCTTGAGATTTATTTAATATCCTTCCTTTTAGTTAACTGTAAATCATGTGTTATTTACGATAACTTTTCCATATAATTTGATGAAAATGCTCCATAATGAAATTCTTATATGAATGATACCAGAAAGTCACTCTTATTAGTAATGGTACACAAAAGGTGTACGTTCAAGCTACATAATCAGAATATATTTATTACCTGATCCATGATTTCCTGGATTGTGGTGTCAAACCAAATTAAGTCAGACGTCCGACTCAGACGATCGCGGATGATTCTGTGCATCTCGTGTCGCCACAGTGATATGACAGGGATGAGAGTCTCATCTGCCCTGCTCTCCTCTGGTAATCTCTTCAGACACTGTAATTATATTAAAAGACATAGGTAATGAATTATCATTCACATATTAAGATCAGCTTGCAATGTGAAGTCTGTTTAAATTATGCTTATGTACGGAAACAATTTTTGTGAGTATGCATCAGTATTACTGATCAAATTCATCTCTCAATTCAAGTATGTTACAATTTTTTTCATGTAAGCTTAGTGACAATTCAAATTTGTAACTGAACCTTACCTGAAAACAAGTTGTGATGTCCTTGAGTGTAAACAGATAGTGTCGTCTACCACGCATGGGTGAAGGTCGTAGGACATTCTGTAGAGCCTTCAGCAGCTCACATGAAGCCTTGACCAGGCTATTGTGAAGGTCAATGTCAAGTCCTGGGCGGTCTCCGTCTGTCATGTTTACCTGTGACAAAAAAAAAATTCCAATTTTAGACATTTATACCCAGAGAAGTTTTACAGGGTTTTTTTCTTTATGAATCAACTTAAATACTCAACCATGACTTCAAAATATTTCATTTTACAGTTTCTTACATCCAGAATTCCATGGACAATGCTCTTCATTGCTTCATCTTGTGGGGTTGGTAAATTAAAGACTGCAAAATGCCTCTGTCAAAACAAAATCATAAAACATTATAACAGTTTCAAAGATACACAATAAGTACTGATTCCATTATATAAAAACGTTTATGATGGCAGTAAAGTTCTCTACTGACCAGTAGCCTGTCAGATAGCTGGCGGCTGCTAACACTGGCCTGCTCGGACATAGACATTGCCGAGATGATACTCAGTCCCTCTACTGTCTTCATCTCAAAAGGCTTCTGTAGCTTACACAGGATCTTGTCATCCAACAGCTGGCGCAGTAACTGTTCAGAGAAAAACATCAGTTAGTGTGGTGGATCATGGATTTAAATCTTATAGGTGCTTCCATATTACTTTAAAAAGTCTGTTAAATATTCTTATATGGTGAAATACAATATGTAAATTTGATCCTACCTCGTTACATCTCTGCACATCATATTCATCAGGCACAGGTAGATTGACATCATCAATGAACACTTTCAGTTTCTTTTTGTCTTTGGCTCCATATACGAAGCCTAAAATCAAATATCTTTATGATTAGTATGTACGTTATATGATAGCCAATTGGAGGGTACAATGTAGGAGGCTTTAAAGTTCTAACAAAAGTTGTTTTTTTTTTTCAAATATGTTGTGATTACAGCTGTTTCATTTAATAATCAAACAACTTATTAAGACTGCTTTGAGAATAAAGCAATTAAAACTGAGACACTATAAATCATCTTAGGTTTGTATAGACCTTGTCTGTGATAGATGTTGGACTCTAGGAAGCTCTGGAGCTGTTTGGCTGAGGAGGCTCCAGAAAACACCAGTCTCTTCCACACAGCTGCCTGCGGGTCTGAAATCAGACAAAAATAATTATAAGAAGACACTTTCAAAAATCTAATTTTAGATAATAGGACTAACAAAAATTCATATTTCATTTGTTCTCTGATATTGCTATTCAAAGCAATCTACCTGAATATGTTGATCAAGTTACTTTCAATTGACATTTACTTTCCCCAAACAACAAAAAAAATATGAATGGCTCTCGTTATCTGCTATCAGCTATTTTTTTTTTATCAGCAAAATGAAATTCTTACACTTTATATTCTACCAAAACTTTCATTTTGTTACAGCAGCGCCCTGTTGGTTACAAACATAGTTAAGGTATGTCCAGATAAATGGTTACCTGATCTTTCCATGTAGTCTATAAACTCCTCAATAAGCTTGGTTTTTCCAGAACCATTTGCTCCCACTAACAGGACGTTGAGGCCAGAGAAGGAGGCAAATTCCATTAGGTTCCGTGTTCGAATCTATAAGCAAGTATCACAATGAAATTGAAGTTAATGAGCAAATCTCTAATTCTTGAAAGAACTTCAAGACCATCAAATTTATTCTAACTGTAGGTAATGTATAATAGGTAACTATTAATAAATTCAATCAATCTGCCATTTACAAAAAGGGAATTTGCTGATTAGCACATATCTTGTCATTTTTCACAGAAATAAGTAGAACCAAGATGTCAAAGACATTTAATATGGCTACTCACAGTGTCAACTGAAGGTACAAACACTTCTCCCAGCATGTCCTGATTGTCAGAATACACAGCCTCTGGTAATCTACAAAAAAAAAAAAAATATCAATAATCAAAAATACCAAAAACTTTGAAATATTGAGGACTGGTATAAATTTTTTTTTTCATCAATATCCATTTACAAAAAAGATAAGTCTTTCCAACCCAAAAGGGAAATAACTCACTTGGAAGTCCATGGATCCCATTCTCCAGATTCATCTACATAGTAATCAAACACACAAATGTCTCGGTCATCATCTGGAAGTCTGCAAAATACAAACCAATCTTAATGCTCATTTAATCTTACCCAGTGACAGAGTGAATGGTTCAACGGTTTTGAAGACAAAGAGTATCAATGATGTCTTTAAATCTTAACTGGGAGCATTAAAATATGTGAGGCAAAATTTTAAATTTATATTAAAACAGGTTACTTCTATTCACACATGCAATATACTCTTTTTATCAGACATATACATGTACTTAGTTTTCTTTTAAAAGGTAAGGAGCACGTTAGTTAAGCTGAACAAGAAGTTTGTCAGCCAATGCTCACTAGTAATAACCCTGCTCTAATGTGAATATATGCTTTCGTGAATATACACAAGTTGCGACAGAAATTTGGTACAGACAGATGCATGGATAAACAGGAAGTTGACATCGGATTCGTAAAAAAATGAATCCCATCATATGGCATGCCAAAACAAAGAGTGTGCTAAAACTTAAAGCATCTGCCATGAGTAGTTGCTGAGAAAACTGCAAAGGAAACTTTAATACAAACAGACACACAATTGGGAGACACACAAGCGTAAAACAGTATACCCCCCTCTCCTTCGGAGTGTGGGTATAACCAAAGAAACAGAAACCAAATCATTTACGCATTAGAAAGGTTCTTCAGGATATCGCTGAAGGACTTCCTATCCACACTGTCCAGCAGTCCTCCAAACGTCCAAATGAGGCAGAACAGATAGAGACGCTCGATATGAAGTTCTCCCCCGATCTCATTATTATTGGCCAACATTGAACTGAGTAGTCCCAGACATGTCTTAAACATTCCCACCAGAGAAAGCGAGAGACGAGGTCTAAAAAAAAATTTTCAATTAACTTTAATTTCATTGATATTCAATTAATTCACATTTTACTTTGTTCCACCTTTAGTAAACTTGTGGAGGTTTATTGTGAACAATTATCATCAATTACATACTGCACAATTATTTTGAAAAGATGTGGATTACTGGTAAATGATAAGTTGATATATCTAAAGGTTTAATTTTGTCATCAACTTAACACAAGCAAATCTTTCCAAGTTTTCAGGCAAGAACATTTACCTTAATTAATTACCTGGTAATATGAATTATTTTCTATTTGAATATATAAACAATCCTGAGATTATGTGCATATATTAAATACTTACCTGGCTTCATTGAGTACAAACTGGGAAATAGGGTCCAAAGTCTTGGCAAACGCTCTTTGTAGTACCTGAAAAGAAGAACTTTATATTCAGAATACTGAAAAAAAATACTCCAATGTTTCCAAACCAGTAGTAAAACAATATTTACTAGAGAAATTATATGAAAACTTAATATATACTTTTGCTGCAAGAAAAACAGACTTGGAATAGTGTGCGAATTTACATTTGTGCTTGCCACTTTTAATCTAATACACTGATGTGAATTTTCTACAAAAACACACGTGCTTATTTAGTATATACCTAATACCTGTAAAATTTCCTCACTCTTAATAACAAACTTATAGTCTCCATTTTTAAAAATCTGCAGACAAATTCTCAAACCCAATTATCTTATCCAACAACTAATCAGTTTAATTGACATTTGTGTCCCTTGCCTTCCATTATCATTGTAACGATTCCAAACTCCCATTTCATATACTTTTACCTTACATTACTTGTTACAAATTCATTTGACTTTGTGTGATCCTTTTGCTCTCACTTCAAAAACAAAGACAACAATATATTTGCCCAAAAGAAACCCCACACGGCAAGCCTTTTTTTTTTTTACCCCTTCCACGGTTTTGATTGGTTCTGGGTCATGGGAGTCACCTGACTCTGGCTTTTTTTGATACTGTCAATTTAAGTGATGAAAGTGAGAAAAATAATGAAGTATGAAACACAAAGGTACCACAGGAAAGTTTTACAAAATCACTATAAACACCAGGATTGTGTGAGAAAACATTCAGTATCATATTTTTACTATTGGCCTTAAATTCCTAAAAAAAATTCTAATTATGAGGTATAACTACATATCATATTTTCACTAACAAAAAAAAGTTATGAATAAGGATCAACTATGCATCAATATACATGTAATACAGTGCATTAACCTTTTTTTTTTAAACCAACAATCCATATTTTTTTTTTAATAATTAAATTTTAAAACTCACTGCATATTATGTGATTGAAATTAAAAAGTATATCTAAAAGAATCTTTGTAAAACTGATGCATCATTGATTGAGCAAGGTCACTCAATATCTTCAAAAAAAGATTGAATTTCTATTCAACACCATCACAACTTACTGTAACCAAAATCTGGTAAGCCATCTGCCCCTAAAAACAAGTATTAAAATGTCCCACCATGTTAATAAATTAAACCTGATTATTACAAGTAGCCTATGTTCTTAATATCTATACATGTAGCTTTTAGCATAGTTATTTTTGCTGTGGTTACTCAATTTGCAGTTTACTAGCTATTTTGGTTGGATATTCATGCTGAAGTTAACTCAATGATTGACTAAAACATTATTTTCTAGCAAATGATTGGTTTAAGACTTACATTTTCATTAGCTTGTTAAATTGTTATTGTATATGATAATATTCAAATAAGATATGATAATGATCAATGTCTTCCACAAATAAATGAAAAAAAAAGGTTCAGATAAAAAAAAATATTAATACAAATTATTAAATTTCAAAGAGAATTTACATGGACTTACTTAATTTTCAAAAAAGTAAGTATAAAAGTTTTTAAAAAATCAAAATTTTTTTTTCAATGTGGTATGAAATAATTCTAAAATGTAATACAAAAAATGAAAACTTAAAAAAAAAACTGTGATTAATGATAATAAAGAATTCATATTAATTATTATGTACTTTAAAAAAAAAAGGCTCAACAGAGACCTATCCCAGGTATAAGAATATCTTTATGGTAGAAAAAGTCCTTCAACCAAGGGAGTTATATATAGATACAGCCATGTATAGAGAGGATACCCTAATCTTTATATAGATATGACATCATAATGCTGACTGCTCTTACCCTGGTAAATTTGTGATGTGGAACATTCTGAAGCAAAATATTTATCAATCAATCAAAGTTTCTCTTTCAAAGGTTAGTATTTAATCAATCTCTGCACCTATGGTGTTATTGTATCAATTAAAAAAGACAGGCCAACAATTTTTGGTTCCTCACTTTAGAAGAAAAAATGTTTATACATGTATATGTCTTAGCCCAGTTAAAAAAAATTTAATATTAACAAATATTTATATGACATTTTGTAAATGTAATCAGTTTATAAACAAATACATGTATAAATACACAGCAAGCATGGTGTTTAAAAATGCATACATCCCCTCCCAGAGGAGATTTTAAATACCATGAGAGGAACCAAATAATTATGTTTGGGTGGCCTCCATTTTAATCATAATGTGACACTAAAAACACAAAATACAGTGACAAACACACATTCTTACCTGCTCCTAAAAAGCCATTGAAAAAACACAATGTGGGATTAGAAACAGTATGTACATGTTATATGTGTAACATAGGAGAGGATCTAACAATTTTGTTAACTGAGAAAGATCAAAAGTTTTCTTTTCATACTGTAAATCTTTATATTAATTGAACAGATCAAAAGATACAAAAATTAAAATTTTACATCAAGAATCATTACTCAAATAAAAGAAAATTGTTAGCAAAGTATAACAAAGCTTTAGTAATGTCTATGTTTCAGGAAGTTTTAATTTCTAAATATCAGAAACTGTGAATTCAGATACTGAAAAATATTCTTTACAAATTATTAAAAAAATGTCAATACTTACATGAATTTCTTGAGGAGTCCTACTTTCCAGCCAAGCATCTGCGATGGGTTTCCATCCCAAGATATCTTTGTCAATATATACAATACCCTGCAAAGGTTTTCATACATCTATTAATAACCATTCTGGATTTTGTGTACCTTGTGGATGACTAACGATAAGTTGTTTATATAAACAAATTATTAAATAAAAGCACAATTATGGTACATACTGTACAAGGCAATCATGGAAAGTGTTAATTTAAAACTAAGTTGTGTTGAATTTGCCATATCATTACTTATTAAATACATTTGTATAAAGAAAAAATTAATATGTACGGATCGGGAGACAGAGGCTGGGGAGGCACTACTTAGGTCATCTGTCTCAAAAATCACAATAATGTTATCTGACAAGAACATCTTGTCTCCATTCTTCAGATGCAGGACCTAAAACACAAAATAAATAACATACAAATTTGAAGTTAATTTACAATGTATCATGTCATAATACTGGGTCAAAAAAACCATCCTAAGCTTATTCAATTAAGTGCATGATATATAATTATATATAAAATATATCACCATCAATTATTTTAGTCTATATAATTACCTTGTCTCCATTCAGAATGGGGTTGAAGTTGTCCGCCCAGCCTGGGTTTAAGGGGCCATCCAAACAGAGCCATGTTGTGCTCTGGTTCTATTGACAGATAAAAGAAAACATGTAAAAATGGTACATAAGCAAACCAATAATTTCAGAATATTTTAATTTCTAAATTTTTTGTTTTTACCCTGTTGGCTTTTCTACAAGCGGAGGTGAAGATACCGTCCACCCAGTCGTTGTTAACATTGAGGTACCCAAACATGAGTTGACAGTCATCGACCACCATTGGGTTAATCTTGATGAGTTTGTGTTGGTTTTCCTGTATGTTCCCTGTGGTTCTGCTACCCTGGGACTGCCTTGAGGTCCCTGCCTGGTTAGAAAGACTGAGGGCATCCACCAGAGTTTGAATACAGCTGCTTTTACCACTGCCCGGGGGTCCTGCCACTATCACACCTACAAAATATAACAGGCGTCATAATGGTTAACATTCATCTCTAACTACTGTGAAATCAATATTTATTGATGGGAACCAATGTTTGCAGATTTAGTGGTTCACTCTTATCAATAAATTAATTTAACATGATCCATATGAATTATAAGACTAAATACGTGTAACTTGGTCAGTGTATTGTTTCATGAAATCTTCTATACATATGAATGACAAACCAGAAGTCTCTGATGACACTGTAGCTCTACTGGTACTTATAACAAAGGAAGAGAAAAGTAGCACTTGGACTTCAAACTATGACATTTCTTACCGTGATGGACCTTGGAGATGTTGTACAACTGTTTACAGCGTTCTATCCATGGTTCGTGGGCCACAAGGCCTTTTTCTACACTTTTCTGTTTGAGAATCAGTTCCACATCAAAGCCTCTGGTTCTGGCCGACGGAATCTGGTGAACTGCTGGAGGATCAGGCAGACCAGCAAACACATCATCCAGAATGTGTTTAAATATCTTCATGTTCTGTAAAATTAGAATATACAGGACTATAAAACTCAGCAACTTTTAGTTCTCATCAACTGACTTTCATCAATAATTTTCAATTTCAACTTTACATTTTTCCGCACATTGTACAAAGTGCACCATCTTTTCCATTCTCTTTTAAATCTCACTCCACTTAACAAATTAAAATCAATTAAATATTTTTTGAGAAAATCTATAGGACTGGTTTGTTATTCATTTTATTGAACAGGACAGTGTTTTACTCAAAATTTCTAGAAAATGAAACCTACCTGATCAGTAAACCTTGGTCCAATGATTTCTTTGATGGTTTGGGCTACCAGGGCATGTTCCAATTTCCCTGCCATTGTCAGTGGGTTGGGGGTTCCAGATTTACGGTTAATACCCCCTGTGGACATTTTTATCCCACTAGCAGCCACTGAAATAATCCAAAGAATTGTTCCACAATATAAAATTTAACAACCTTAATATGTATTTATAAAGATTCTATATCATGATTAAGATTTAAAGTTTATTTGAGGTAGACTGAATTTATACTTTGTATAGAAGCAAATAAAATTTGGAAAAAAATCACAATTCTGGAATGTTGAGAAATTTAAAAAAAAAAAATGAAATTTCCATCACCAGAAATTTTTTCCAAAAGAAAGCTAGCTGATTGTTAGGTTTCCCAGTGCATTTTTTTTAACTACATAATTGTAAGTTATATGACAGATTCAAGATCCCATAATCTCAAGACATTAGCTATAAAGCACCCCTTTAACCTGAACTGGATGAGAAACATTTAAATTGAATACTTGAGGAACTGACGTGTTGTCATAACCGTCAGATGCTCCTTAGTATGTATAAAAAGGCTTTATTTGATAACATTTGAATTTTTTTTATCATTATTATTTTTTAAATGCAGAATCAAGATATTTAAATAGCTATTAATAAGCATTGCATTTGACACTGTCAAAGATACATGTATTTGCAAGATATCTACCGGTAATAATTGAATCATTAGTGTTTTTCAATATAAATAGTGAATACAAAAGTAAGCATTAGGACATCATTATCAATGCTTATAATTCAGAATTCTTTATAAATGGATCGAGTGTTCAGATTGTTAGAGAGTATAGAGTAACAACATTCATGACGTATCAATTACTAGACGTAGAATTGTTGTTGAGGTTATGTGTGTATACCATGTGTACCATGTATGGTTCCTCTACGGAAATGAACGACATGCGATTCACTTGATTCAGGTTCCTCAGATATTACTATGTTTGGAACTGCAATTTGAATATTCATGTCTATACAATTGAATATTCATGACTAATATTCATGACCAAGCTTTGACTTATAATTGAAATCACTGACAGCTAGTACAATCTCTAATTTAGACATGCATACAATGACAATAATCTACATAAAAATTAAATTTAATAATTGAGTCAGATTAACATGTAACAAAATAATGAACATGTGAAGTGAAAATACACAGAATAACAAATGTGTGATAAATAGATATACTGTATGTGCTATATATAAAAAAAATATGTCATTAATTCAAATCTGCTACTCAAGTAACCAAAATCTAATTATATAATAAATTACATCTCTGAAATAGATGTTTTTAATAAAAAAAAACAATATGCTGATGATACATAATATTAAAACTATTTTTATAGAAATTGTTTATCAAATGTGAAAGTTTTTTTAAGTAATGCGTGATATAATGATACATGAGAGCCAACATGAATAATTAGACTCTGATGTAGATTAATGAATTCAAAACTCCAGATGCTTAAGTTTTAAAAATGACCTCCTTCATTTGAATACACAAGGAAAGCCCTGCCATAACTAGATTAGATAAACACATTCTAGCAACTGTCACTGAGCTAAGTCTATCCTTACCATTAAGAGAGGCAAAGTATTGTTGGACTGTTCCAATTAAAAAGAGGAGAAATATTCAATCATTTTGTGTTAGTAACACGTACATTGAAAAAATAAAACACAGTTCTTTTAATATTCTCAAATGGAAATCTCTGAATTTCAGAATTCTGGGTAGCTTAAATAGCTTATGCATTCAAAAATAAAAAAAATAATAATAATTAAAAAAATGTCCTTTTTTTTTTTAATTTTGCAAGCATGCATCTAAAATGTTTCCAAAACATCAAGAAACTGCGAAAAAAGAACTAGAACAAAGTAACTTCCTCAATGGTGATAAGTTTCTCTCACCACTTAACCTTCCAGGGGGAAAGTAATAGGAAGGGTTTGGCAGAATTCCTAAAATATGACTCTCTTTCAATTGTTATGAATACATTTTATCATAAAATTTTTTAAAAAATTTAGGCATGATTAACCTCTAATGTAAAATTTAATTTATAAATATTACTGAAGATAATTTGTTTCAGTGTGCGATAAAATGGGCCAGATTTTTAACAAGTTATTTAAAGACTTTGAATGAAATCACCATGTATATTGTTAACAGAAATACGGCTAAAAATATTTTTAATAAGGGTTCAAAATTAAATCAATATTTATGACATCAATATCACAGTTTTTAAATATCTATAAGTTTCAGAAAATTTATCAGTTGAGCCTAATCAAACACTCTCCACTCTTTAGCATGCATTGTGATCACAAGTTCTATAAATAGAAATAGCCTATTTTTGCATACCTGTGACACTCTGCTGGGGGTTAGCTACTTTGGATGGGGCCTCGGAGGCCTGACTGTCTGATCGTGAAGTTTCCCTATCTTTGGCCTCAAGTCTGTCCACTGATTTCTCATCTCGGATAAACTTTCTCTTTTGTGTGGCCCTCTTCAGAACCCCCACAAGTGTGGCTACACTGAAGTGATGGTGGCAATCTGGTGGCCTATACAATCATATAAAATATTAATTTACTTTATTTCATTTGAATCTTATCTATAATACAAAAACAAACAAAAAACAGATGATTTACCATACAATAAAATGAAACTTTCAAACATTCTATTGAAAATGTGTCCAATTCAAAAAAAAAAAATCAATTTGAGAATTTTTCAGTGAATACATAGAATATTTAATCTTTTGACTCATATTCATCTGGGGTCTGTATTTCAGATATTTAAGTATCATCTGGTGTTACTTTCTGTAAAACCAGATTACACATAAAACTCACAATTCATCCTTGGCCAGCTGTGCCAGAGCTTTAAGTCGTGCTCCCAGCACAGTCGGAGCCCTGAATCCCATGGCAGCACACTTAGCCTTTAGAATGAGACTGAAGTCGGGCTTGACAAGGGAGACCATTCTGAACAGAGATCTGACATCAATCGGCAGGTTACAGCCCGGAGGTGTGGCTTCCTTGTTGTAGGTCATGTGGACAGCAAAGGTCTTCTTAATGGAAACCTAAAAAACAAAACGCAGCAAAATATTTAACATTACATCAAAGTGTTGAATATGTCATGCACATAGTACAGTCTCAGTCTCATCGAGTCCGAGATAATGAAATTTGACAATAGTTATAAAATATATATCTAAATTTGCTTTATACAATATATATCATGAAAAAAATTATTTACCTCCTGCCCATCACTGAGTGTAGCATATGGTTGTCTGGATCTGAGGGCATTTATAACTGCAGTCATCTGGTCCAGTAGGACTGCCATAGCTTGTCTATTCAAACTCTGAACCTCATCAAAACAGCACCAACAACCATCCTACACATCAAAAAGAGAGTACAGATTAAATGTATGACATGTACAATTTATAATATAAAATAAACACATACTATCATTACATGATGTCAATGCATAAAATATAATTCACTATCCCTTCTCTTCTCTATCCAAATATCGATCATTTTAAATAATTGTGTTTCTGCATTACTCAATTACCATGGCAGTTCCCTGAACAATCTTGCCCATGGCACTGGTATCTGACTCGGAGGAACACTGGAATGTTCCAATGTAATGTCCCAGAACATTTGCTAGACCCTTAACAGTTTCTGTCTTGCCAACCCCCACAGGCCCTGACACACAACTTCCTTGGTAGTTATTCAAAGCCTGTGACATGGTCAAAAAGCATCGCTCCGTGACTGGAGTTAAGGCCACTCCTGCGTTTGTTCCATAGAATTCATTGCCGTAGAAATAAGGAGTGTCTAGTATCCAGATGAGCGGTTCGTGTTTATCTTCTGCAATGGAAACCAAAAAATGGAATTAAAAATGATTTAATATTTACCCAGAAATTCAAGTATTTTTTGTTATTTTGTTCATGTTAAAAACAAATTTATAATGCAGCAGAATTTTTTTTGTTATAGTTAAAAAGCTTGAAATATTAAGTAAAATTAAAAGCTTTTGTTTTTTCATAAATATCACAAAATGTGTATTACTAACAAAAAGTTTTATTGCAAGCACAAGTATCATTCTTTTAATATTACATTTGGAGGTTAGATTTTATTAATTTTTGAATTTTGTAGTCAACAAACTAAAAGAATATCAAGATTAAAGAGAACAGAAAAATCAAAAGATTTATGTTCAACTGTAAGCAAAACAGAACCGATGACTTTCATATATACAAAAGTTATTTCTCCTTGTCAATCTTGGGTCCATCTGTGTATGCTATCGTTTTTCCTCAATAATAAAACCATCTTTCTGTCACAATATCTAACAAGTGAAATCTAAAGGTACAATTGTATACAAGAAAATTTTTGCCCCCATTCTTTTTTTTAGCCCCTTCAACCTCATCACAAATAGGCAAAATCAAAATGGGGCAAATTCAATTAAAACAGCATTTGTTATGTATATCTTTTCACAACTTTGTCCAGGCAAAAAAAAAAAAAAAAAAAAAAAAAAACTTTAAGCTCTTATTTATTATGTAATCCTGTTTTCTTTGTTGCCCCATACAATGCCAATATAGGAATGGTAAAAAAAAAAATTGTGAAGATTTCAAATACTTATAGAAAAGTTACAAAGCTATGATAGAGTGAGAAAAAAAATCTGTTACACACAGGCAAAGGGAAATAATTTGTATGACAAGAAAGTCATCTGTAAATAAATACATAGCTTTTTTCAAACCACCACAATTTATGTCAAAGTGATAAAAATAGGGAAAAAAAATCAAACACACTGCTATAGAATTAAAAGTTAAATAATTGAAATACAATATACATATAGAGTGAACAAGCATTTGGTATTTAAATCAGGAACATTACATTTAGTGTTTAATATGTAAACAATCAACAACAGGTGAATATGGGCAATTGCAACATAAGGGTTGTATATGTGTCTTTTTTTTTTTTTTAAATGGAAATAATTAATCTAATTAGCCACCAAACTTGCTGGCAAAGATGAACAAAAACATTTTTTACCACTCAAACTCATTCGTGTGTTTTGTTTTCCCGGAGAAGCTGCAGATTGAATTATAAAGATACATTTTTCCCTGCACAATTTTTCTGAAATCACAACTTTGATGTTCACACTTCAAAACTGCTAAAATCTGACCCCAAAGCATGAAAAGCTTGCCTTTACACTTAAGTAAGCTTCTTGGAATGAAGGCGTAAGAATTGAGAACCATGTTAAACTTTTTTTCTCAATTTCCATTAAATGAAAGTGACTCGGAATTGATTAGACTTATCTGTAAACTAATTGAGCTGAAAAGGAGTAACTATATATATTTATGTTAGATTCTGTATCTAAATGGAGGAGAACAAAAAGCTGATTATTATAATACTAGTGAAAATTATAATTTTGTCATCCTTATTTCAAATAAAATTAATATAAAATAAAAAAAGAATAAAGAAAATGTTGAAGAAAAAAAAAATAAAAATGCACTTTAATAACTGAGGGTACTTTGAAAAGGTGAAACATAAAAGCTAAGAAATAATATGATTGCCCAACACCATTTCTTTTTTTCACCATAATAATCCTGCTTACGTATTGAGAGGTCACTCAAACTCGCTTCCGTTTTAATATCTACCGACTCATTATCTAGAGTCTCATCGTTAGCTAATTAAATCAAAGATACAAAAAATCAGACTCATTTTTAAACAGTTGTCAAAATTCTTTACGACATATTCTTTTTATGATAAGGAAATTTATTTATGATATTCCAAAAGATAAAAAAGTTGAACATCTGACATATGAATTTTGTTTTTCTTTCCTAATTTTACTTCTATAAATGATTTCTTTTTAGAAATATGAGATAATGTCTTCCATTACTAATACTCAATTCATTGAAATACTAACTGACAATGCACAAATTGTAAAGATATGTAGCAGTACATGTACAACATTTATGTCATAGTTTTCTTTTTTATGCAATTCTGATTTTTCCCTTAACAGTGACATTTAACATTTTGGCAGTCAAAAGATTAGTTGTAATTTACTGTAACCTCAAATGCAAGAACCCTTCATTAAAGATTTAAATATGGCACTTTTTGACAGAGTCATAATGATCACAAAAACCTAATCTCAAGATTAATTTCACATTATGTAACAATGAGATGTTCAATGCCTTACCAACAGGGTGAAAGTAACATCTAATACACCTCCTCCATTCAAAATCTGTTGGCTCTCTCAAGGACTTTCTGTTGCACATATTCTCTAGTACATCTCTTAAATAAAGGGATTGCTGGAAAATTTGAAGCAAATATTTTTCTTATCAAAGTCATTAGCAAGATCAGTCAAATACAATTCTACAATGTACAAAAAAAATTTGTCTGTTTCAAAGTACTGTTGAACTTCTGTATCTTGAACATCGATATCTCGAAAACCTTGGCTATATGTCAAAGTGATTTTGAACTCCTAACCCATTATTCTATAAGTTTTTTACCCTCTGTATCTCAAATCAATTGATATCTCGGAATTTTTCTCGGTCCAATTGAGTTCGAGATAACAAGATTTGACTGTATCTATCAGAAGTAATATTGCATGGCAATATGACAACAGATGGCAGATCATCTTAACTTCTCATATTGAAGTTTCTTGGACTATTTTAATTTCAAAATAAGAAAATGATCATTTTAAAACTTTACAGCAATCATGGACTCCAGCCTGGCTTTGTGGAGAGGTAACATGGGGTCCTCCAGAGTCCTCCATGCCCCTTTAGTCAGGACTGTGGTCAGTTTGGCCGTGGAAGCTTGGTACTTCTTCATTGTGTTCTACAAAAAACAATTACCACTACTAGACTACAATTAATAAATTTCAAGAAATCTGTTCCTTTTATAACAAATAAAAATACCATGTCCAGAAAAGTTAAGATATTTTAGGGGGAAAAAATCAGAAATGTTGAATAGAACTGGAATGAATCTTGTCTCTAAGGCAAAGAGTAAATGATTCCTTTTTTGTGTAATGATATCTGTTTAGTACGTACATGCTGCAGTGCCTTGCGGTCGTACTTTAGTTCCCCTATCCCTGCATCACATTCTCTGGTCCAGTAATACAGCATTCCTATTCTGCAAACTTGTGCTGGGTACTGCATATAGGGAAAAAAATTCTGTGGTCAACTGAATCGTAATACTTTCAAAGGAAAGCATAATTCTGCCCTCAACAAGATTAACAACAAGATTAACAAAATTAATTAAGAAAAGAGAGGCTATTAATTATTAGGTTGCCTGACTGAGCACAGAGACAGCTAGGTTTATGCCCCCTGCCCAGCACTGACCTTGGATGCCCATTCGTCCATCATGACCCCATTATTACAGTCCTGTATGATGCTAATGTTCAGCTCCCGCAGTGTCTTGGCTACGGAATCTCTCAGTCTCTGTAACCACACCTCCACTCCATCATTCAGGCAAACCTGAGAAAATCACAGAGAGAAAATTGATATGATTTGCCAAAGGGCTCATGACCAAGCCACAATATTAATGTTTGATTTTCCAGAAAGAACATTTCTAAGGGCATACTATATCTAACTGAAATTCAATGTTCCTTGGACTGATTTTATCCCCTTCTTTTATCATTTCTTGGATTATTATTTCTCATAATGTCCTATAAATCAATATACAATGAACAACACATAGTAATAAAATTTCAAATAGTTTCCTTCATATTCTCATGATTCTCACAAAGAAATTTTAACACAATTTGAGGTTCAATGCTGGGTAACCTTGCAGGAACAAAATAATAAACACTCAGCTTCAGCGGTATTCTCTAGAAATTCGACATTTTTGACTTCTTTTATGTAGCATGTGATTAAAATGCTGAAAATATTTTTTTAACTAAAATTAAAAAAAATGACTTCAATAAAATCAATTCAATTTTATGACTTTCAACATGTTCTGATAGAATATTTTAAAAATATATATATATACTAATTAAAAATCCATTTTATATATCATATAAGCCACAGTGGCCTCACGTCAGGACAGTTAAGGGCCATTAAAGTGTCAGGTATTCAGTATGTCAATATTTATTTGTTTACACTGACACACATCTGGTATTTATATCTCTAACCAGAAAGTAAATTACAGACCTTGTTTTGAAAATCTTGACTGATATGTCTCACTCTGACAATCCAGAGGCTGTTGGACAAGGGCATATTTATATATCATAATACAGATATTGTAAGTATTAAATAATAAATATTGGAGCCTTTTTTTTTTTTTTTTTTTAAATCTTTTTACCTTACATGTACAATGAATTAATTTATATAATACTTAAATATCCAGTTACTTAGGGACTGGGAAACATTTATAGACTGTTAAATCCAGCTTCATTATAGAATAAATATTTAATAAATCAAATAATACAAGCTTAGAATTCTTTCTATTTAAATTCTAGAGCAGTAATAAATTTTTAGCATATACTCTATTTTACATTTTTCATAAAATGTCAAATCAGATATAATTATATGCTACTAGCTAGATGTTTGACAAACTACTTAAACTTTTTAATACTTAAGTTGTTTTGCAATACTTTTGTAAGTCACATTAAATGCATTTTCTGGAGTGCCTAGTACCGGGGGTAAGCCCATTTTCTTCCAGACTGAGTACATTAAAACTTTGTCATTTTCAGATGGCTTTATCTAAAACGGGTATTCCTCCCAGAGCCCAGCACTTTTTAGAGTGTGGCATTAAAGAATGTGAAAGAAACTGTGAGTTTTATTGCAACCCTTGTCATCAAAGATTGTGCAAACAATGCAGAGATGAACATCTGAAAAGTCCGGACAACAAGAATCATGAGGTGGTCCTTTACCAGAAACGTAAACGACAACTTCCTGTGAAGAAATGCAAGATCCACCCCATTAAAGATATAGACATGTTCTGTGAAGAATGCCAAGTTCCTGTATGTTCAAAAAGTGCTATAAATGGAGACCATCAAAGTCATATATTTGTTGATCTAGAAACAATCTATGCAGAAAAGTCTGTGCTTTGCCAAGAAGAAATCTCCAAAATCCATGAGTATTTTCTCCCCATATCACAAGATTTTCTGAAAGAAATAAAACAAGATGCAGTTGAAATCAAACACATCATGGACAATATCAGAATATCCATGAAGACTGAAGGTGAGTCCCTGAAAAGTCTGGTGGACACAGTCATATCTGAGAATGTGAAGCAGTTAGACCAGATAGAGCAATCTCTTTTAGAAGATCTAAATACCCAAGACAAGACCATGGATGTTTATATCACTTTTCTTAATAAGCTTGTCAAAGAGCTCCACAGATGCCTGTCCTCTACAGAACCCCAGAAATTAATGTCTGAGAAGAAACCAAAGATCCGATCCATACCAGAAACAACAAAACCAGTCACACCACGATTTACTGCTGGTCAATGCAGCAAAAGTGATGTCACCAAACTACTTGGTAAAATACATGTCCCCAACACTAAAGCAGAGAAGAGAGAAATAAGACCTGTTGAAAGTGTCTACAATACAGCAATGAAACCTACACATAAACAAATGAAAGAAGACAGAAAGAAATCTGACAAGAAACAAAAACTGTCTCTATCTGCCTCTGACTATCACGAAGGTCAGGGAGTTCAAGGTACCAAGTGTTAATCGTGTATACCACCTATCACTAGATAAATCAGACAGACTGTGGATCAGTGACTGGGATGGTAATCTTATCCAAATAGATCTACAGGGGAATGTGATACAGAAGATAAAAACCAATGGTGGAATGCAAGGTTATCACACAGTCACACAGGATGGGGATCTGATCTTTACAGACAGAAAGTTGAAAGTCATCAATAGGATAACACAGGATAATAATATCACTGAATTCATTAAAACTGGAGACTGGGAACCACTCAGCATACACTCCTCTCACATCAATGGGGACTTACTGGTGGGGATGGCTGGTAAAGTCACCAGGTACAACAAGACAGGAAAAGAACTACAGAACATACAGAGGGATAACAAAGGACAGGGACTGTATATTACACCATACTACATCACGGAAAACATCAATGGAGACATCTGTACATCAGACTACTATAACGGAATAGTGGTGGTGAATAAATCAGGACAACACAGGTTCTCCTACACAGGTCAGAAGTCAGAGTTCTATCTCTATGGAATCTGTACTGATGTCCTCGGTCACATCCTGATGTGTGATAGTGACAGTGTTCACCTCCTTGATCAGGATGGTCAGTTCTTGTCTCTATTACTCACACAACAACAAGGGGTAAAGTATCCCCGTAGTGTGTGTGTGGATGATGAGAATGATGTCTATGTTGGACAATACTACAGCAACAAACTGATTGTGTACAAGTATCTAAAGTGATACTTATTCATTTAAATAAAGTTCAAGAGATTCCGAATAGAAAATCCAGATCGAGGCCAAAGCGTGCAAGAATTGTGTACAAAGCGTGTGAGAAACGTGTACAAAGCGTTTCGTGCAGGCTTTCGTGTTAACCATGCAGCCTTTCGTGCAAAGCGTTTCGTGTAAACCATGTAGCGTTTCGTGCAAACTGTGTAGCGTTTCATGTAAACCGTGCAGCGTTTCGTGCAAAAGTTATAATCTCCTGTGTACATGTATTTATCATTGATATCTATACCATAACCATATCACAAATTTAAGTCAAATAATCCGTTTTATTATCCACTCACAATGGAGTTGGAGGGCATATAGTAACACAATTGTGTGTGTGTTTGTTTGTGGGTTAGTCCTGTGTGAAACAGAGGTGACATAATTTGTTTCAGGATCGAGGTCAAATGCTGTCTTGATTTATAGAATGATACACTTTTTGTGAGGGGATGATCCGCTTTGCGGTGCTCTTGTTTTAAAATTTTTATGCAATTATTATATTGAGGGTCAAGATTAAACTGGTGCAATGCCAATTAATTCATAATTTCCATTTATTACAATTATTTTTCCCATCAGCTTTTATCTGTACCAGCCTGTTATTAAAAGATATGTTTTGATCTTTTGGATTTAATACATGTATGTATGTTAAGTATTCCATGAACAGAAGAAGAGATTGAAAGTTTCATAAGGTAATATTCTTTACTGACACAAATATGTTTTGTTCAACTTTTGATTTTTTAAATTTATGAGAATTTAAATGTTTAGTGTTATATGACATTAACTAAAATTGCCTTAATGGGCATTTAATACCTCCAAATAAAAATTTTACACTCTTGAAAATCAAAGTTTTTTGTTAACTAAAAAAAGTCTGCTTTCATGTACATTTTACCCCCCCCCCCCCCCCCCCCAAAAAAAAAAAAAAAATCTGAAAGTTAAATGATACACTTCCTATAGTCATGAAGTTCATGACTATAGGAAGTGTATCATTTAACTTTCAGATTTATTCATTGAATAATAACTGTAAACATGGAAATGTTTGCATAGAAAAAATTTTGTGGTTACTTTGAAATGATTAAAAATTACACCATGTGAAAGTTTTCACTAAAGGTGTCATATACTAAACAACCAAACCTATTTCGTTAATTCTTCAACTTCTGTGAAAATAACCCCCACAAGAACGCAATTTTACATGGACAATTGCAAAATTTTATCCTTTAAAAATATTCACATTTACAGCAAATTAGTCCTTCTTCTAACATGACTGTATGCCGGTCTATTAATCCTAGCATAATTATAACAAGAGGCCCATGGGCCACATCGCTCACCTGAGTAACTTTGGCCATGCTTTTCTTTACCAGATTTCCCCACTTGTAATACCTATTGTGGCCCCACCCTACCCCTGGGGGTCATGGTTTGTACAATTTAGAATCTACACTACCCCAGGATGCTTCCACATAAGTTTCAGCTTTTCTGGACCAGTGGTTCTTGAGAAGATTTTCAAAGATTTTTCCTATATATTTCAATGTAAAACTTGGATTCCCTATTGTGGCCCCGCCCTACCCATGGGGGTCATAAACATTTGAACAATTTAGAATCTACACTATCCCAGGATGCTTCCACATAAGTTTCAGCTTTTCTGGACCAGTGGTTCTTGAGAAGAAGATTTTCAAAGATTTTTCCTATATATTTCAATGTAAAACTTGGATTCCCTATTGTGGCCCCGCCCTACCCCCGGGGGTCATAAACATTTGAACAATTTAGAATCTACACTACCCCAGGATGCTTCCACATAAGTTTCAGCTTTTCAGGTCCAGTGGTTCTTGAGAAGAAGATTTTCAAAGATTTTTCCTATATATTTCAATGTAAAACTTGGATTTCCTATTGTGGCCCCGCCCTACCCCCGGGGGTCATAAACATTTGAACAATTTAGAATCTACACTACCCCAGGATGCTTCCACATAAGTTTCAGCTTTTCAGGTCCAGTGGTTCTTGAGAAGAAGATTTTCAAAGATTTTTCCTATATATTTCAATGTAAAACTTGGATTCCCTATTGTGGCCCCGCCCTACCCCCGGGGGTCATAAACATTTGAACAATTTAGAATCTACACTATCCCAGGATGCTTCCACATAAGTTTCAGCTTTTCTGGACCAGTGGTTCTTGAGAAGAAGATTTTCAAAGATTTTTCCTATATATTTCAATGTAAAACTTGGATTCCCTATTGTGGCCCCGCCCTACCCCCGGGGGTCATAAACATTTGAAAAGATTTAGAATCTACACTATCCCAGGATGCTTCCACATAAGTTTCAGCTTTTCTGGACCAGTGGTTCTTGAGAAGAAGATTTTTTAATGACCCCCACTCTATTTTTGTCTTTTCTTGATTACCTCCCCTTGTAAGGGGACTAGGCCCTTTATTTTAACAATTTAAACTCCCCTTTACCCAAGGATACTTTGTACCAAGTTTAGTTAAAATTGGCCCAGTGGTTCTTGAGAAGAAGTCGAAAATGTAAAAAGTTTACAGACAGACGGACGGACAGACGGACAGGTGAGCTAAAAACTCATGGCCTAAATTGAACAAGATTGAAACTTCTGAGTCATAAACATTTGTAACTCTCTGACATTGTACAAACAAACATAACTTAAAGAATAATTATAGTGAATTTTTAAGACTCACTAATCTGTTTTCTCGTGAGTTAAGTACTATATTTAACTCAACTTTGCCTACCTTTTCATGCAGTAGAACCATCTCTCCATCAGAACTAGAGACGGACACAGCATCTCTGATGATGACGTCCTTGATAATCCCCTCTGAGGGCAGGTAGGCGGGGCCATGAGCCATGGCGCTGGGGTTCACACTCTGTAATTGCAGATCATAATTTCATAATTTTTTTAGAATTAAAGTTTTCATTAAAATTTTTCTGGATATTTGTCAGTGATTACGAGGGTTGTCCAAAAAAATTTGTGGACTATGGCGTTTTTGTCAAAATGAATGGTTCAAGATATTGTATACCAAAATATTAATTATGAAAATCCAAGTCAGAATTTTAGTTTTTATTGTTTGAACTTAATATTTTTGTAAAAATCGTGGTCATTAAAGGTCGCTGATAGTGAGCACGGACCAGGGTGAAAATGCCATAAGTGTTCTGATTAAAATGATTATTTATTTATAAAATGAGTCAAAGCTTAATGAAAATTAAATGTATCACAAATGAAGCAGTTATAGTCATTTTCTGATACCTTTAGCATCGCTTACTAAATAGACAGTGAGAATATTAAACGAAAACCACAAGAAGTATGTTTCAAAAATTGACAAAAAAAGCAAGTCGGCCATCCGAACGGAACAGCGTACAGTCAAACAGTTATGGTTTAATATGGTTGAAACGATGTCAGACACAAAATATTTATTCAAACAACTTGAAATTATTGGAATATATTAAGTCCATTGATTTGTGATTGGTGTATAAGATTTTTCAACGGTGTGTAAAATTTTGGAGACACTACATGAAGTGGAAAACCACTCTTATTTGATGGAAATAGGATATCCCTATTCATGACATAATTGTAATAAATCTAGCGCCATCGGACTGGGCTGTGCAGCCTGTGTATAGGAAGTGTTTATAATGATGATGCTCGTAAATTATCCTGAATATTGTTTTGAATTTTAAAAATTAAATCAATTATGGTCTAAACATAAATATTACTGCACACACTTGCCAGTGTGGCATAATAAAAAAATATTAGCGTGTGTCCATATAAACATGTGATAAAAATTCAAAATTAATATTTTTGATGTTATCATGAAATTAGCGTTACGTCAGACTGGGCCGTGCGGCTTGCATATGCATACAAAGTATTTACACCTATAAAGTTCATAGACTAGTGTCCACTGTTCTAATTTTTTGTATATTAACTAAACAACGGGCTATAAGATATTATTGTACACGTTTGTCATTGCGGCCTTTATTTAGAAAATTAAGCATTTGTCCACGAACTTTTTGGACAACCCTCGTATTTATAACAATTCCAATTTTGTTCAGACACTTCAATATATGTCAGGGCTTTTAATAATTTTGAAGTGAAGAGGTGAATTTATTCATTTCATTAGAGGATGCTTTAGAATTATTTCCAAAAGTGTGACATTTGAAGTAAAAAATTCTGATCAATGAAATCGTAAAAAATCACCTATTGCCTCCCCTTATTGAAAGCCCTGTACATACCTAACATCAGGTCATGCATACAAAACAGAAATGCAATCATGCATAAATCAGTTACTCACCCTTCTATATCTAATTATTATTCAACAAGCACATAATTAAAACATTTTTCTTAACTGAAAATTATCAAAGTGTACAAATGCATGGAAATATAAATTACAATAAATATTTATTATTAGATTCAAATTCAATCTAAATTTTGAAACTGATTTTTTTTTTAGAAAGATATAAGATAGTACTATTACTTTTTAAACTGAAATATGTACCACATGCATTCAAAATACAGAAAGTACTACCAATTAAATACACACATTAAGCTAATATTTAAGTAAAACTGCGTGCAGATTGACATAATTATAACTGTGGCAAGTATCATTAAAAATTGAGTTTGAAAATGATTTTTGCCATCATTATCATATAAATATAACACCTTAATTCACAGGACAATCAAACATGCATACAAATAATAACATAACAAGTCCCAAAACTTGTGCAAGTACACCTTCAAAATTGAATGCTTAATTGAAACCTTAAAAGTCAACAGAATCGCACAATACAAAATTATATGAAACACTGTTGTAAACACTGAATGTGCAGGTTCTTACGTATTGGGAGAAGTTAACTCCCTTTATTCCTGACATCTTGGATCTTACTCTCTTTTTTGTACTTTCTTTTTCCTGCTGTTGATTATGTATCAAATGAATAATTGAAAATGAAAGTTAACTATTTTCACGTCAAAAAAGTACATGTAAATATATAATTGCACTTTTAAAACTTTTACCCAGTTCCTTTATTTCAATATTTTCAAATGCATTTTCCATTTTCTTATTTTTAATAAATGATTTTAATACTTATATTTAATGAATTTTTCATTTCAGTATTTCATTATGAATGCTGGGTACCTTATGAAGTTTAGATGCTTTTTGTTTCTCATCAGAACTTTCTTCTTCCTTTTGTTTAGTACTAGGATCACCCTTATGAAAGTCAGACATGCGTTAAAGAATTTAGTATTAAGTTTGAAATTCTATTTTTTAACACTACCCTGGGTGCGACGTGTTTGTATACTTCCACCTCATTTGCAGTACAGTACAATTCGTTTATTATCATGGTTTATTTGTCAGGCCAAAACTTTATAATAAGCGACTTTTATAATAACCATAGTCGGCTGAAATTCATGTCGGACGGCTGACGATACGACGTTTGTGTAAATTATTGGATGTATTATACATCTTACGTTACATATAATTTCGATTTTTTAGGTTTATTTGAAATACAAGTTAACTGACATATCATTTCACAATATTTACTTACTGTTTCAACTTTTTATTATAAATAAATTCACTTAAATAAAGCTTAATACGCTTCAAACTCAATCTTCTAGATCCCTTGGCATCCATCTTGTTTATTTTGATCTACTTTCATTTTTAATTTATGGTCAATTCAAATTACCAATGTTTCGTTTCGTATTTTTTTTTTTTTTTGGTTTATTTTTTTTGGTCACATATTAAATAAATTAACACAGCAACAAAGCATGCATTCAAATTGTTTCTTTTATTCATCCAAAGTAGACATAAAAAAATTACCTATTTATACTCAATGTCGCCGTATAATTAAAATTAATTGATACACTGATGAGCATATGCATTCAAAGCCGCTTGGACAGACTGGTGAAAGAGTTAATTTCACTTAATTATTTCTTAATTAATCGGGCAGTTTTGTAAATGTAATTAACTATGAACATTGATCCAGACACCAAGCGTAAGAAAGCTTGGGTTAATATTGACACTAAATTTAGTTTCAACACATTTGGTAAAAAGTATTTATTACGAACGTACAATTCAGGATTAACATAAGAAGAAAATAAGTTATGAAAAAAAAAGAGTTCGTGTTATCCTGTCATGTACTTCATGAAATAAACAGACTCCCTGTCAATCGCTCAGGTAAGTGCACTGAAGTGTGACTAATCTCCCCAGTCTTTCACTATCGGCATATTCAAAGTGAAAATCAAGCCATTGTGTATATAGACAAGCGACAGTGCATGAACCACAGGTGTAGATAGGTGTTATCTTTTGTTTTGTTGATTGTCCCAAGAGTGAAAAGGTGTGAAAAAATATTACGGACGGACATTTTCTATTATAGTAAGCGAAGTGTATACTTTTACCTATGATAATAACAGACAAAATTTATAATGAATTATTAAGAAATGGTTTTGTGTTTCAGATATCTATGATAAAAAAAGAAGTATGATATAAAACCGGTATGATAAAAAACGAATTGTACTGTATTACCAAATGGTTGTTGAAGCATATTACATGTATTAATGATGAAAAAATGAGTGCTGTTTGCTCAAAATGATGCAAATGTATTAAATACTATATCTGAATTAAATTCATTAGAGCAGCTGTTATGTAAAAACCTATATATTCATCCAAGCAAGTATTTCAAACATAAGTTCTTAACACCAAAATATCTATCTGACTGTGTTTTGTTATAGAATTTGCATGCATTATCAAAAATACCCACAATGTTTAATTCATACAGATATAGAATTGTACATGTGTTTTAGGTTTTTTTGTATAGGTTTATATATATATAATTTTGATATATATATTATACATTATTATATAAAGGCCGATGTTATGACCTAGTTTTAGCCCAGCACCCCATCTTAACTTACTCCCAGTACACTGGGGGAGAGGACGGACTCTGTCCAGTACATCCCCTGACTAGAGTGTAGCCTAAGGATGGAGGAAGCCCGAGGCCTAGTGGGTAGCCCAAGGCTGGAAGAAGCTCGAGGCCTGGGGGTTATATTGTATCTCCTACTCTCATCTGGAGTCTGGGATTGTCTACGACTATGTTCAGGGGTCTAAGGAATTACAAAACAATTACTATAACATTTATCTAATAAGGGTGCTAACTATCAAATGCTTTTCTAAAAATAGAATTTAAATTGATATTTTACATGTAGCAAACAAAACAACTACTGAAGAGTCAAAACTTCTATCTACCAAATAATATAATACTCATACTTTTAAGTAATAAGGAAATAGCTATTGCAATTTAAGAGTCAAAAGTATTTTTAAAACAGCTGTTTATATGACTAACTCTTTTAAGTTTTTTCTGAACTCCTGAACATTGTTTATTTTCTTTTAGATTTATACCTGTACACTGTATAAGAAATTGTCAATATTTACATTACTAGTACTCTGAAAAAAGAACAAACTACTTGCTGCTATGTTCAAATGCTACAATGTACTTACTGGAATCTATATTAATTTGATAAAGAAAGAAATGAGATGATTTCAAACAAAAAAGAAGGTAAAAAGCATCTTTATTCAATAAATATGATTTAAATGCACTTGGTATATTGTTTCTACATTACTGATAAAAGTATATACAAGCCCTTTGTGCATATATCTCTTGAATTTTGTTTTTAAATCTATCTTGTACTTTATTGAATGGAGGAAATACTTACATAGATCTCGGTTAATCGTTTGTCAATTTTGGGGGGAGTGTTGCTCCTCAGCCCTGGGGATAGGACACTTGTTGAGCGGTTGCCCCTGGATTGAGTGCCAGTTCTGGATTGAGCAAATCCGATTTCATCCGTCGGTTCATCTACACCAGTGTCTGCTTCCTCTAACTTTACATCATAGATTGCACTGAAAATGGACCTAAAACAAAAGAGGGATTTTATCATAATGCTTTACTCAAGGATGTAAATCATTTTTTTTGCCAAAATTTTATCATTATTTAGAGATGACTTCTGATAATGCATGCTTTCTTAAGGTTTTACAGAATACAAACTAGTTTAACTGAGAGTCAGATGGATTCCAAACCATAGGGCCTTTTAACTTTCTTAATAATCTGGAACTTCAACTCCCTGCCATTCTTCAATTCATACCGGTAAGTGAAATCATTACCTATTATGTACAGTTGAACTTCAATATCTCGAACACTGATATCTCTAATACCATGGATATGTCAAAGTGAATTCAAAATCCCAACCACTTATTCTCTAAGTATTTTACCATCGATTTCTCAAAGCCTCAGATATCTTGAAGTTTTTTCTCGGTCCCATCAAGTTTGAGATAATGAGGTGTGACTGTATTTAATTCTATTGTACCTATGGCCTGACAAACTTACTTGAGGTGAGGTCTAACAGACTCAAGGTCATTAGGTCGGCTAAGCATGGCCAGTAAAACAGGGTCAGATACGAAGTAGAACCTCGGGAAAGCACGCCTCTTGTTGTCGAGGTACTCCATCAGGGACTTGAAGCAGATTTCCAGCTCCTGCTGCATGTTACGGAGGAGGTTCACCTTGGGCACCTCATCACCGGTACAACACTGAAATATGTAAAATGGTGTTTATTTACACTCAAGAGGAATACACTAATTTATTTACTGGAGACTACTGTCATCAAACCTGCATGTCAAATTCTCTCAAACAGAAAATCCTTGTAAAATTTCACAGCAAAGGACCCCAAATTTACTTATATATTAACTTTTCTTTTAATTCTTAGATCTTAATTGCTTATACAATCAAAAGTATATCCAAGAATCAAATCAAACAACTTATATGCACATTTTTAAAGTCCTTAATGACTAAAAAATGGCAGAGATGAGTTCTAGGCTACATGTATTTGGCATTCTTTACCTGCAGAACACCTCTCATCTCAAAGTATGTAGTCTTCATCATCTTAGTCCAGCTTTTGTCCGTTCTTGCGAACCTCTTGGCCTCCAGTTGGAGTTCCTTAGCTGTCACTGAGTTACTGAACACAGCCTCTAGATACTGCCACAGATCCTGAACTTGCAACCACAACTCCAACACTTCAGTCACGTCCTTGAGCTTCTTGGCCCACAGCGCCGTATCATCCCTAAGGGGGGCGATGTACTTGGAGGTCAGCATGCTGGCCAGAAGAGCCTGGGCATCTTCAAGCTGTTCCAGTAGACGTTCTGTGGAGACCTTATCTAGGAACATGGGACCTCGGTTCTTGTAGTGCTCAAAGGTCAACATCTGCTCATTCCACTCATCTTCTGTGACTCGCTGTTTGATCTCGAGTTCGAGTTCTCGACTAGCACTCAGGCAGATTTCTTCTATGTCAGCCTTGTGTCTACAAACAAATTTTTTTATATACAAAGCATTATGAAATTATTATACACATTAAGTATTCTATTTTATGCACTTCTTTGCTTAAACATGTATTAGCCTTGACTAATAAGAAAAGAATATGTGGCATTTTGTATAAAAAACAGAGAAACTCTAATCTCTTAGGCTTATGGTGCTCTACAAGTACATTGTACTGAACTTATTCATTAGCAAATGTGCCTCTGTTTAACTACAGAGAGTTCCCCCAATCTTACTTGATTAGTCCTATGTCCAGTAAGTGGGACAGTTTAAACACATTGGCCTCCAACTGGAACTTTACTCCCGTCACATTCATCACATCCAGCCAATGACGATTACGGATTTCCTAAATAAGAAAAGAAGTGTACAAAGCTTGCCAATCATCATGAATCATGAGAAAACCGTAACGTTAAGTTATTATTAAGTTTTTCACATTCCTAAACTATCTAGCAGCTACATTATCTATCAAATGAAATAGAGAAAAACAACTTTAAAGTGTTCTCAGAAATTATTGAGAATTTAAAATTTTAAAATAAAGTAGTCAAATGTTTTAATTTATGAAAATTTTAATTTAATCTATCACTAACTATTTACATTGAATTAATCAGAAAGTACAAGATTTATTATTTTGTAAGTTTACCATTTTCAGAAATACAAGCATCAATTCAAGGTGACATGCTTTCTATCAAATATTTCCTATGAACTCATGGGTCATACTCTCCAAGTATTGCACTGCTGTGGGAATCATTTCATCAAAATTTGTGAGATATTCAAGGTGATTCAAATTGATTCAAAATGACCTTCCTAATACCCCAAATTGTTTCAAGTTGGGTTTAAGCTAGTCTAGGATCATAGAGATCGGCCATTGAAGAACAAAACATTTCTTGCTCCTAACCATGGTAGGGAATGTTGGACTTTGTGGAACTTTTGACTGTACTTTGGGGAGCTGATAACCTCATAGAATGAGTGGTCCAACATCATCCACTGTGGTTAAGAGCCAATCTGAACTCTCATCCACTTTAAAGATGCAGTGTATGCTTCTTTATCAAAGGCACCATGAAACAAGACTCTCTCTGCTTCAGGTTTTTAGAGCAATGGCTAGAAAATACCCTTGTTAATTGTGCAACCATTACAAACACTTGATCAATTCTAGTTTCCATTTCTTTACATTCTCTCTTGTTATTCCTGAGCAAGTGCACAGACCTCCTTTGATCTGTCGACCTATGGTACTTTCTTAGGCCTAACATCAGCTTTCCTTTGCTTAATATTCCTCTTCCTTTTTTTCCAAATGTTGTAGCACATGATACACAGTATATACAGAAATACTGAGTGTTTCAGGAATATCACCAGGTTTTACCATCCCTTCCTTATACACATTCAGATGAAAACAAGCTTTCTGTTTTAAAAGCACTTTGAACAATAGCAGATGACAGGAAGTAAACAAAGAAAGGGAGATTAGTCATGATGGAAACTCACAAGAATAAGAGTTATCGCCCTTTGATAGGATTTATGCAAATGTAACAACAAAAAATTCTCAATAACTTCTGGGAACACATACATACCAGGTGTGGGAAATATATAAATTTTAAAATAAGATATGTTAAGAATTAATTAATGGGGGATTTTTATGATGCAGTTGAAGGTAAAAAAAAAAGAAGATAAATTACCTTACCAAAAACATGCTACAGTTATTTTGAGGGTTATTAATTCAATGACAAGAAAATCTAAAAATTATTCCCAATCTCACACCACTTGTAGGCATGTAGCATTGACAGTCACAAGTTTGTTGTTACTGATTATGTAATACCATAGACATACATGTACCAGCTACATATTGACACATGCACATGCTCATTAAATTGATTAAGAGGTTCAACTTCCATTTTACTTCTAATTAGGTTAAATCTCTAATCAAATTAGCTATAATATCTCTGAATAGGACTTGAAAGACTCCATACCCAACTTTCCTGCCAGTTACAAATTATCAATCAAATTGAATTTTCAATTAAATTACATTCAAGACATAAATCCAACATTTTCTATTTTTGACCCCCTAAAAAAAGAGTTACATACTATATCAATAGCAGGAAAATTGAGCATTTAAAACAGTGAGTTGGATTCATGTTAATTACAGACAGACATATGATTTACTTACTGGTATATGGTATTTAATACTTCCCTGGATGTGAGCCATGCAGTAAAGAATGGTTAATGTGAAAAAATATTATTGAGAAGGGGAGTAAATGACGGGTTGGATAAACAAAATACAGACAAAAGATAGAGGTAAAAATATTTAAATAAATCTTTAAAATCATTAATTTTGGAGGACAATGATTTATAAAAATAAATGGACTTTCTGTCCTTCTTGGTTCAGTTATTTAAAGTACTATTATCATATTAATTGTTACATTACTAACTAAGGTTGAGGTTTTAGGATTTCCTCAATGTATTACTGTTAAAAATATAATTTATGCAGATGCTATTAAAGCTTTGTTACTATAAAAGTAAGACTTAAAAAATACATGCAGTTATATTTATAATTTGATATGAAATCTATAGATTTATCAAGCATATTTGATTTCAAAATGGAAGAAAAAAAGCCTTTGAAAAAATTGGTCAACATAATTAGAAAATTGAGGAATAAGGGATGAAAGATGTGTAATGATTGCTATAATATTATGAATTATCTCTAATTCCTCTGTATGATTACCTTGGAGTTGAGTTTTCGGAGCAATGGGAACACTTCTAGGTAGTTCTGTAGTGAGGTTTTGAGATCATGATAAGCATCCCAGTCCTTCAGTTTACTTGGCAGAGCCAGGCATTCATCCCAATAACCTTCCACCTGAAGAAAAAAAAATGAAAATTTTACTCCTAACATTTCTAATAAATGAAAAAAGTTTTGAGGTATCTACTTTATTTCCGACCGTCTTCTCTTATTAGAGAGGGGTATTAGATTTCTTTTTGCAAAAAAACAAAACTGGTTGTTTTTCATCACCATACCTCAATGAAAGCGGCATCCAAATCTACATCTGCCCACAGGGTGTCTCTAAATCTAGTATCAAATCGGATAAACTTTTGGAACAGTCCATACAACTGACTCAGCAGATCCAGTTCTTCACCGGTTTTATCCAGTTCAGGGAAAGGTTTGCACACAATGCCAAAGAGCTTTGACACAGACACAAGTGTGTTTCGTTTCGAGTCATACAGTTTGTATTTCTGTTGGAACTCTTGCAAACTAGCTACTGCCTTAGCTGGGGGAGTGTTAGGAGCATTAGGTCCCTGAGAGTCAAAGGCATTCCTAAATTCCATAACCTCTACCACGAAAGCTTTTACATTTTTGTCAAGTTCTTGTTCGAAAGCTCCCCTGCGTTCCTTCAGGAGATTTTCTCGTACTTGTTCAGCAAGTTCCATTAACTCCACCCATTTGTCGCGGAGTTGGTCCACCTCTTCCACTTCATTTCTTGGCAACCGAAGTTCAAACTCCCTGTAAAATTTAAAGTACATTTAATCCAACATCTATGTTTTAGTCTTATTAGTATTGAAATATAAATTAAGAACCGTTTTTTAGTAAACAGTTAACCTTAGACAGGTACACTTGTACATATCAAAACTTAAATATTGTTTTAAAGGGGCTTTGTGGCAAACTTTATGCTAAAGTGATTCTAGAGTGAAGAAAAAGACAATCATATAATGTGATTGCATACTTCCTTAGAGACAGCTGCACAATTTGGAGCCAGGAAAATCTACTGCAAAACTTATCCTTGGAAAAAAAAAACTTGCTGATGTTTTTGGGATTTTCTGAGATTTTCTTCTGAATGCAATAAATCTTACCTGAGTTTCTCATACATGGTTTCTATGGGGAGGTAGATGCTGTCTACTTTGTTTTCCATGTCTCGGAGTTCCTCTAATAACTGTAGAGCACTGTTCAACTGGTCCAGAGACTGGACGTGAAGTTCCAGTCTGTTACGGACATTCAGTCTGTACAACACTGCTGAATCAAGCTTTTTCTATAGTTTAAAAACACAAAATAAAAGTTACAAATGGGTCATCTTCAGTTCAAATAATGGTTTAGTATGTTTGCCATGTACATGCATTGATGTTTTTATACCACAGGTATGTATATCAATACACTCTACATGTATTTCCTTGACATAATGTAAATTGCATTATAAAAATATCAGGTTGGTCTCTGACTTCAAGAGGAGCTAAAACACACAAGTGTTGGAGGTTGCGTAATAAAATTAATTATTTGCAAAATGTCTAAGCTATTACCTTAGCTTCCTCATGTAAAACTGAAGCAAACTGAATCTTCCAGGCCATGGCAAACCCGTGCAGAGCATCCTTTATCGGGTCGGTTCCCAAACAGATACAGCCAACGGGAAGAACCTTGGGGATGCTGAGAACTTTCTTCTCGATGTACAGGAAACGCTCCACCTCCTTCTTGATGTTAAACATACCAGGTTCACCCATGATAAACTCCTTAAAGTTACCATGTAGATCATCCTTCCATAGGAAGTTATAGTAACTGAAGTGGAACAAGTGCTTGTTGACTGTAGATTCCAGCTCTGAAAAATTAAAAGTAAAAATTCATTTCTGTTCAAATGTAATTAAAAAAAAAATTAAAAAAAAACAAACAAAAACATGTGTTGTTTTACGACTTAAAAAGAATAATTAACAAATCATCAACTCATGAAAATGAAACTGGAATGTAAACCTTTTATGTTCTATATTGTTTTCAGATTTTTTTTATACAAGCCTGAAACACACAGCAAACTCTACTAACTATGTTCAAACCTTCTTTCATTATTACAAGTGCTTTTAGTCAAAATGTCTGCAAAATGTCATATGAATCATTCCAAATAAAGATCAATCAATATATCATGCAATTCATTTAATGGTATCTGTAAGATCATGAAAACATTTTTTTAAAAGCATTTCAGTAAAGCCACTCACAAACGATAGTAAATGAACTATTTCACTATACTGGAAGGTCTTTCACATGCAAAGGGGGACTCAAGGACTGAAATGTGCACATTTTAGGTGAACTTCTCAGATTTCTTTTTTTTTTTTACATGCAAGTCATGCATCTCTACTTGCCATTACCTTTAAAAACAGAGGTAATCCCTCCTTTAAAACAGATCATATCATTTAAAACTAAATTCAAATTATATATTAAGCGGACATTCAAGCATGAATGACCAATATATCAATGCTTAAAGCTGGTATGTACATTGTACATAGTTCCATAAGAGATAATGTTTAAGACGATATTTCTATATTAAAAGATTATGTTTAAAACAATGCCACCTTAAGCAATAATCTTTCAACACATAATGTTTTACATCAAGTTGTAACTATTAAAATGATGATTCAGACAAATAAATGCCCCAGCTATGAACGATGTTGTTTAAAAAAAAACTAATGCGTAGAAATCATAACCACATGCTCATATTCACTGGTTTTATGCATTCATCATAGTTTTTTTGTGTAATACTAGATGAAATCCCGCGCAAGCGCGGGAAATTGAATTTATACCACTACTGACAAAAAATATATTGTAGTTTTTTACTGACAGCCTACAGGCTTATAGCAGGAACAAATACTTTGTTGAAAATCCCGCATGAAGTAGATTTACCTACCCCCCCCCCCCCCACCCCCCCCCCGTTTTTTGTGTTTGTTTTATTATTTTTTTTTTTTTTTAAACTTGAAAAATAGCAATTTCATTAATTGACGTTTATTGTGAAACCTGTTATACTATGTTATGGATATTGTACTTCAGATGCTCTTATTTCATTTCCGTCAAGGATAAAAGCAACGAATATGCACATTTTACTAATAAATTGATTGGGGGGGGGGGGGGGGGGGTTAAAAATTCACAGATACTTGGGTCTTGGTTTAAAAATATGTTTGTACCTTATTGATATGTAAAAATGTACTTTACCTTTTTACCTATCAATAAGGTACATACATATTTATAAACCAAGAACCAAGTACCTGTGTAAAAATTAGCTTTTAACGCCCTATGAATAGGCTGAGTATTTGATACAAAAGACTAAGCTGCAATAATGTAGTCCTCTCGGATTTTTATTTGATCTGATATTTTCTGGCCTTTCTCTCTCTGCCCCCCCCCCCCCCCCCCTCAAAAAAGGAGAGGGCTACATTATTGCAGCTATAAAAGATTGTATTCAGAAATTAACTGTGCATTGATTAAAGCGCAAAATTTTACATCTTTAATTGTATTTGAACAATACCTTATTCATTAATTTTCTCTTTTCATGTAAGCAAGTTTATTACGAAATACAAATTGTACTTCGGGTTCGTTGCCACGATGCTCTCAGTAAGGAATATATCATCGTCGCAAACCACGGTTTTGAGTCCACAAGCTACCTCAAACACGGGTGATGATAGAGAGAGTCGATGTGAATCACCCGTGAGTTACCGACGATGGGAATATATACAAATTTTACCGATAAATTTATTAGGAAAACCTACTACATACATGTATATGTAATAGTCTTTCAATATATAATTATATTCACAACTTATGGTGTTATCAGTGATTTACCATTATTTCAATTATGACCATTTACACAAAAGCTTTTTTATGGTCATGTAGCTATAATCGCCTCGTTTTTTTCTTAATATCGGGTTCGATGCTATATGATGATCTAGAAGCTTCCGTCAATATAAAGATCGGTGAATGACGAAAATATTTTGCACATTTCCCTTTTTAATCGGTTATCACAACTTATTTCTTTTATATCATTTAAATCGAGTTTTGATTGAATAATTCAGTGATGACGTTTTATGCAATAAATAAACGATTGTTTGTTGTCAGTTTCATTAAAAATTGCCAGTAACTTAGATCCGCCAACCGGAAACGCCACCGTACTCACGTTTTAGCTATTTCATGGCTGTTTATAGAAAATGAAAGTAGACTTTTAATTTAATGTACGATACTTACTATGCGATTGAAATCTAAATATAGTTTACGGACATCAGCTTTTATCTAGTGTATTGTTAGAGGAGTAAGTAAGAACTCTGGTGCACCCGTTTCGAAGTTTATTTGCAAAATTTATTAATTTATAAGTATAGATGAATTCACGAGAAAGCTCCATCTAAACAAAGTACATTTCACAGATGGGTACATGTATTTATCCAAAGTAATTTGACCAGAATGACCTGCCAAAATAAAGTTCTCATTGATAATAACAGAAATATTGCTTTTCATAAAAGACAGTACCTGAAAATTAAACCTTGAGTAAAATGCTATTTATAAATGTAAACCAATTTTTATCTACATGCAAGAAATGTCCAACCTTCTTTTATTCATATTTTTCGCTGTGAACTATTATTTCAATTGAATGTTTCCCAAGATCCCAAAATTAATTGTCATTGATGGATTGTAAACTGGTGAATCCCAAATAGTTGTTATGAATAATAGCTGGTTTATAGAGTATACTACTGTCTCGTAAAATATAATATCTATAATAATGCCATTGTGGTTGCAACATGTTTTATTTAATATGTAACTATCTATTTTTTGTGTCTATAATTACCTTGGACTATACCAGCAACTGAGTCCATCATTTCTTGTACATTCTCATCTTGTGAAATGGAGGAATAGAAGTTCTCTGTCCCATGGAGTCCTAGCCAATCAATGTCTGTAAATTCAAAAATTTAAATCAGTTTAGACTAAAATAAGCAAAAACTAATTACTTTACTCTAAGACATATCGAATATCAATTACAAACTATAAGTATATATATGACATAAAAGTAAAAAGTGGTCGAAGCAATCATGCCTTAGAATTACTTGAAATTTTCAATTTTGTTTAAGTATCTTTAAAATTGAACATATCATTAAAACACCAAACCAATAAAAAATATACTTGTTGACATATTATTTTAAATCACTTGATCAGCCATTTTCTGCAGAGGGCTCAAAAATCTTTAAAATTACTGGTAAATTTGGAGTGTAGACATGTCTTCATGTTTTACATGTAGAATATTTGCATTATTATATATTTGATTATTTTAACATACAGGCAGCTAAACCTCTTTATCTCGAACCTGATCAAGGGACCAAGAAAAGACTTTGAGATATGCAATAATTTAAGATTTCAAGGGTAAAATACATATTAAGTAGTTGGGACTCTTTACTCACTTCAACATATCCATGGTATAAGAGAAATCAAAGTTTGAGAAAACGAAGTTCAACTGTACTTGTATATCATGTCAAGATTTCATGATTTGATACATCTTTTATTAGGTATATCTTTATTTTATGTAAAATCCTTACTTCTGGTTGCCTCCAGTATGGCATTAGCTACTTCTGTAATGGCTGTCTGTGCCAGATCTAGAGAGGGGTCCAGGGTGATGTTTGGAATGTTAAATCCTACCTCTACTTCAAATCTACAAAACACACAAGTTTTCCATGTTTAAGCAAATATACACTGATTTCATGAAAATGTCTTCTCCATTTGAAAAAAGAAATTCCAATCTTGAAAATGTTTGAAAGCTTAAAATGGCTTATTTACATGCATAGTCCTTCAAATATTTCAATGCCCATTTTTTTGCAATTGCAAATATTTGCTCACAGCCTATTGTTCTCTTCTTGAATGTGGAGTAATAGAATGTTTAAGAGACTATTTTTTTTTAAATTGAAATAACTCTGAATTATTCATATTCAAAATTATGAATTCTTGTTAAACAATTTTGTAACAAAAGGACACTAATCATGTATAATGCTGTATAGTTACATTTAATCCAACTGTTAGCAAAAAAATTATTATTCGATCCTTACTGTAAGTAGGTCACTTCTTTTGCTTTATCTGTCGTCCACGTCATGTTGGAGAGCTGCGACATACTGGTCTGTGGCCTGGACCTCTCGGACACGGCGGACGAGACTCGGCTACGAGCAGACTGTTGTCTAGGAGATCGCGGTGACCCGTGGTGGTCACTGGATGCGTTTGACATTGAACTGATGACCCTTATGACCTCTCCATCACATCCCGTGGACTCTGCGAGGGCTGCTAATGACTTGTAGGTGGCGCTCAGAACTGCATCATATACTTCATCTTTGTAGTGTGCTGCATAAAAATACATAAAGTGAGGCTTCAAGTGAAGGGCAAATTATAACTAATATCTTAACTATAAATGGCCCACTTTTAAGATCATCCAACACATTACTCAACAAACATTACGTTAAGACGAAGTAAAATCCAGTATAATTTGAAAATTCATGTTCGATATCACAGAAGTATCCTCATGACTCTTCAAATCATGGAGGTAAAATTAGCCTTACATCGATAATTTAAGTGGGATGTGTTCAAGATCATTGCGGCAACATAGCTCTAAAGAACGACCATCTTGAACATTATGCTAGCCTAGCTGCTACACTGGGATAGCAAGCTGTACTAATTCAATAGATCTAGATATCTAGCCTGATGCCTAGCAGCTAGGCTAGCTGCTATGATTTTGAACATAGTTACAGCCTCCTGGTGTGTGCTCTTACCGATGAGTTCCGCCACGTAATGCTCCTCCTCCATAGCCTTCTGTTTCTCTCGGGCCACTTCCTCCTCATCCATCATCAGCGCCATCTTCTTAGATTTCCCGTGGTGGTCATTCTATAAGGAAGAAAAACAGGTCAAGTATAGGCAGAGGAAATCATTAGTAATTCAGACTGAGAATTTTTGTTTTATTTATTAAACCACAACTGCAAAGGTCTTTAGGGTTCTTGCCCCAAGTTCATTTTTTAACATTACGATATGAGAAATTTGGATTTCAAATGATCTCTCCCCAAAATTATTAATTGAACACAAAACATAATTGAAATGAATTTAATCAAATTTAAAATAGGCACAATTTACTTATTAAAAAAACAATAAACTTATTTTTGACTATAGAATTTAAGTTTGTGAAGATCAATAATAAAAGAGGGGATAACACGTCAGTTATTCTATTTGTCAAATGGAGGAGAAAAATATATAAATATCCTGAGCCCACAAACAATAGCACACATTCTAAGAGTCCTACAAGTCAAGAAATCAGAAAAAAGAACATGTAATGTACATAAATCGTTATATTCTCCTTATCCATCACCATTATATAACAGAAAAGTGAAATGGAAGTGCAGGATGGTATAAACTGAAAGAAAATTTTATCTGTAAGTTAACAATTTAAATTATAATAAAATGCCATTGTATTCTTGTTCTCATTAATAAATTCCTGTAAAGAAAATATTATCAAATGGAAATTTAAAGTAATTTTTTAACAATTTTGAAATATTTTCCCCTCAGGCCTGATACAATGGCTGTAGTAAAGGTTAAAATGTGTTAATTTAAATTTTATGCCAGTTTGGGTCTTCTTGTAAAAAAAAATCATCACTTCTCAAGTGAAATCAAAATTTGACAGTTTAAAATATATGATAATTCTTTCTACATAAAATTGTTTGAATTGTTTATTTGTCGTAATAACAGAGGTGTCAAAAGAGAACAAAACTTCCCATAAATTTTCTTATCAAAAAGATACATGTCAGGGGCAAAATATCCCCTAAATATCAACTGTGCAGACAAACACACACACAATATAAATAACTGGCTTCAAACTGGCATGTAAATTAGTAAAAATGGGAAATAAATAGTTTAGCAAATTCAAATCATGCAGTGTGTTATAGTGACCATATTTGGAATGAGGGACGGTGAAGAAGATGGGCGGCGCTGTGGTTCCCTGATGGTTTGGCGCCGCTTGTAGCCGATTAATTTGGAGTGCATTTCTCCCCGCATGGAAGTGAGGTCGTACTCCTGAAAAGTGGGTCACATTGCACCATGTGATTAATTAGAGGATTACATGAAATTAACACACACAACATCAATACTGAAATTAGTCTTTCAGTTATTCTTTTTAGTGGAGATGAATTGAGCAATGAATATATAGTTTTCAAATTTATGCCACTTTGCATTTCTGACAAAGTTCATTAACCAGAAGTCTCTGAAGAGACTGTAGCTCTACTGGTTATTCTTATAAAGGAAGATAAAAGTAGCACTTGGACTTGAAACTTTGCAACAGCAATAAATAGAATAATAATCCTTGGTTTAGTCTCTTTTTGTGGCAAGGTTTATTGCAATCAGATTAAAACTGTAGGAGGAGTAGCTTTTTAAAAGAATTTTACAGAATTTTCGATTTAAGTAACCATGGCAACATCATTCAACAAAATCAAAAAACAATAACGACAATTATTCATCTCAGTGTAGTCTACTTGTAGGCCAAGTTATACTGAAATCAGACAAAAAGTGTAGGAGGAGTAGTGTTTTGAAAGTACATGTATTTTAAGAAAATTTCTATTTTTAGTAACCATGGCAACAGTGTTCATCGAAATCCAAAACTGGTAGAAAGAATTATGTATCTTAGTGTAGTCTACTTGTGTGCCAAGATATACTGAAATCAGACCAAAAGTGTAGGAGGAGTAGCATTTTGAAAGTATTTCAAGGAAATTTCTATTTTTAGTAACCATGGCAACACCGTTCATTGAAATCAAAAATCAATAAAAAGATTTATGTATCTTAGTGTAGTCTCCTTGTGTGCCAAGTTATATTGAAATCAGACTAAAACTGTAGGAGGAGTAGCATTTTGAAAGTATTTCACACAAATTTCTATTTTTAGTAACCATGGCAACACCGTTCATTAAAATCAGAATTACGTATCTTAGTATAGTCTACTTGTGTGCCAAGTTATATTGAAATCAGATCAAAACTGTAGGAGGCGTAGCATTTTGAAAGTATTTCACAGAAATTTCTATTTTTAGTAACCATGGCAACACTGTTCATTAAAATCAGAAACCGATAAACAGAATTACGTATCTTAATATAGTCTACTTGTGTGCCAAGTTATATTGAAATCATACCAAAACTGTAGGAGGAGTAGCATTTTGAAAATATTTCACAAAAATCTCTATTTTTAATAACCACGGCAACATCGTTCATTGAAATCAAAAACCAATAAAGAGAATTATGTATCTTATTATAGTTTACTTGTGTGTCAAGTTATACTGAAATCAGATCAAAACTGTAGGAGGAGTAGCGTTTTCAAAGTTTTTCACAGAAATTTCTATTTTTAGAAACCATGGCAACACCGTTCATTGAAATCAAAAACTAATATATAGAATTATGTATCTTAATGTAGTCTACTTATGTGCCAAGTTATACTGAAATCAGATCAAAACTGTAGGAGTAGTTTGAAAAATTGTTTACAGACAGACAGACAGACGGACGAAGGACACCTTACTATTGCATAAGCTCTTCTGGTCTCTGACCAGTAGAGCTAAAAATTTGCATGTATATCTTTTCCTTTCAAGTAAAGACAAATTTTTACAATGGGTAATTTTTGCAGTTATCATCCCCCTCCCCCTTCCCCCATATTTTCATTGCTTCACTTCAGAAAATAGAACTGCAAATATTCTAAATCCATTATCTTTTGTATTGCAGTTTAAACGGATCCGAACAATATTGATTGCCAGGATATATAATCCAGAAATGTAAATGCTACTATGAAACAAAATGAAATTTTTTATCCTGCTTAATTTACACATTTAAAAGGAAATTACCGGTTGAACAAGTTTTTTGAAAATGTACACATTATACATTGTAACTTAACAGACAAAAAGAATTTTGAATGTAAACAATCAATAAATCTGTTTCCCAATGAATGCAACACTAGTTCAGTATTTAGTACAAAGGCTTTTTAGACATTCATATCAGTGGATCCATCACACACACAAAACAAGAGCATTAATTTTGTCCCTACTTAATAACTAAATATACATTTCTCCTGTATGATTTAAATCATGAGAGTGATATACATATATGTATTAAACTTCTCACTCTCTTCAATTTAATCATTTGGTCAAATTTATAGTAGTAAAATGAGGTTAACAATAATGACAATATTAAAATTCAGAAACCATCACATTAAATGTACTTTGAAATATTAAAGGCAACTCTTGCAATTCACTTACTAGTAAAGAAATCTACATTATTCAATGAATACATATTTCAATAGGCTATTGAAGAAATCTGACAACATTCAGTCTTTTTCTTATCATTCACAGAAATATACACCTATCACTGAAATGCTGCAATTCTACATGTAAAACTGATTCTACAAAACTTTTCTTTACACTTCTATTCCTAATAGTAATTTTTGAACCCACCTTCCTGAGAGCCAGGGTGTTGGCAACTTTCTGTAGACCGTCTGCTACTGTTTTTACCATTTCCTGCAATGTACGAGATCTATCCTGAGCACCTCTCAGCATCACCTCTCGGAACTCCTCTGGAGGCTACATAGAAAATACAAAGATCTCATAATTTTTTTCTCAATGGAAGTGAATGTGCATTTGTATGTGTGTGTTGGGGGATGGGGGTTTGGGGTGAAGGAATTAACAAGCTAACAAAGAATATTTATAATTTTTTTCTGTTTCAAGAGAAATGTGCAGCAACATAGACACATGCAAAAAAAACTCTCTATACTTGAACATTTCAGACTTGCAATATCGGGGTTGACAAAAATGACCATGCAAAGTTAAACTTAAAAATCAATTCACATGTACAAAATAACATTTCTTAATATCTGATTTCCTTATCAACATTTAAACTTAGTAGAAATTTGATAGATTTCCTTACCCAAGATCTGGCAAATGCTTCGTCAATATCAAACAGATAGAAGCTACTGATTTCATCCAGCGTTGAGAAAACCTGTTCCTCCATTATTTCTGCCACCTTGGCCTCCATTGTCATCAGCTTCTGTGTGGCTGAGTGGATCTGGTGCAAGAAGGCATCTACAAACATGTTACAATTTTAAGCAAAAGATCTTTGATATTTTTGTGAAATGATACCATAATATACCTGATGTTAATTTGGTCTCCATAAAGATCCATAGCTACATATATCAATATTTAGAAATTAATGTATTTTTGGCCATACATTTGAATGCAGCATGCCCAATATTTTATCTAAGGTTTTGTTTTAATTTTTGCAAATTTAAAGAACAAAAAAATTTAATAACCTCTATTTGAAAAACAGAAACTCGGTTTTAAAATCAAGGCCTCAGACTCAGAGAAATAAAAAATCAAAAGTTTTTTGTGATATTCTGTCAGTAACAGTAATTGACCTGAAATCCTGCTTTATCTGTGAGAAGAAACTCAATCTATGTGTGGCTTACCTTCCATAGATTTTACACATCATATTATAGTATTTCATGTACAACACACATCATTCAAGTGATCACCACCTTACCTATATTCATGCTGTTCCAGGCCAGTGTGCTGAGTCCAGGCTGGAGTTGCTGCTCCACGTGATCCATATGGGCTGCAAACAGTTTCTGGAGTGGCTCTGGAATAGCCTCACAAACTTCTTTATACTCATTCAAAACTAGCTCCAGATGGCTCTTGTAGCCCTTAAATCTGGACTCCTGCTGCATGATGGCTATGGCTGCATCTGGAATCTGGATTCCGAGCCGAGTCAGCCACTTTGCCTCATGGATCAGTTCTAACACTCTTTAAAAAGAAATATTTCTTGTTTACAGTGTCACAGAAATATTGATATGTGTAAGAAATTCAAAAGTTAATTAAAAATATGAAAGGATGAAACAAGAACTTTTAATTTTTTTTCTCTTTCAAACTGTTTTCAGATTTTGTACTGATTAAGTAAGTCTGGGCATGAATTTAAAGAAATCTTGCTTGCTATCATAGCAGGACAAAATTTCACAATGAGGAAAGTTTTAAAAGCAACTATTTTTCCCCCTTTTCTTACCTCTCATCTGCATTGACTACAATTTCACCAGTGGTAGGATGGTGTACAAACAAGGTAGCTCTAAGACCATTCCTAGCATGGTCAATCCTATTCCTCCACTGAGTAAACCATAGGCTCTCAAAGGTCACCAGGGCAGTGGCAAGCTTATTGTATATCCGGACTATCCGGCCAAAATCGCCCAACTGATTCACTGCCTTGTTGTCTCGGAAAATCTTCATGGGGTCTTCAATGCGTTTGAGTAGCTGTCGAGACCAATGGATAGCTCCAGCAACTGGGGGTGCATTTCTCACCAACTGTGGGTTGTTCTAAACGATAAAAGAAAATCTAAATTAGATTCAGTTGTTAAATTTAAATTAATTTCATGATGCCTAAGAAATTCTCAGATGCAACTCTTATTTCTGTCCTTTTTGTTTTTTACCTTGTGAGCTTCATAAATTTGGTGAACTTCTTCCAAGTCAGATTCATACCAGTTGAAAATTTCGACAAACTTCTCAGAGATGCAGGCCCTGATTCCTGGTCTATTTTGAACTGGAGTAAATCTACAAAAAAGAAGAAAAATTCTATCATTTTCTTTCTATCTGCTAAAATAAATTAATAGACTTAAAATATCATCAGCAAAGGTTTTATCTGATAGTAAAAGTACAGGAACTTTGGAAATTAAAAAAATTAAGTCAGCAAACCTTGTGATTGTATCCAATGCCTGTTGTGTTTTTGTTTTTGAAATAAATATTGCATGAAGGTATGCAGCAAGGAAAGTCTCTAGGTCAGTGCATATTTGTGCAAAGTTGGTATAATAGTCCTCAAATCTGTCTTTGTCCTGTAAAAAAGAAACACAATATAAAATACAGTATAACCTATAACTGAAATGACATGTTTGGTAATGAATTAACCATTTCTCCAATATGTTGATAAACATGTATATTTTTAAGTGTGTTGTTTCTTGCATGATTTTAAGTCCTGATACTTTATAAGTGCAATCTCATACATATGTGGGTCTGCATGACAATCTTTAAGTACATTGAACATATGAATTATGACTTAAAATTAAATGTAGTTTGAATAAGACACATCTAGGAAAGGTAGAATAAATTTTTGAAATAAAGCAGAACATTAAACTGCTGGTCAACTGTTAAATGATTTCATACATAGGAAATACTCAATAATGACTTCATAAAGAATATAAGTACTAATGAAAATATTCTGGATGAATGAAGATTGAATTTCAATTCTTATATGTCGATCATGTCTACATAATTATTAAAGCAAAATATTGTTCTAATGATGCAAAATAGTCAAAAGGTGTGCAACAAACAAGAAATATAAATATTGCAAACATAGAAAACAAACTCTCATCTAATATGGTCTCTGGAATATGATGAAGCTTTATGTCATATGATACATTCAGCATTACAAATACATATATCAACATGCTGTTTCATCCTAAGATATAATTAGGATGAGAAACAGAAAAATTTCAGTTTTATCTGTAACAAATAGCAGACATAAGATGAAAGGTTCCAATCTTCATCAATAAAATGAACTAAATAAGCACTAAATCTTTTAAATAAAAACATGCTGTCTTTTTTTTACCCAAAATAAAGCAAGGTTTCTGATCAGAGAGTAAGGGGATGAATAAATTTACAAATAAGCTTATAATCTAATGCTAATTAAAACATGCAGGGAACTATGCAAATTTTATACCATCAAATGTCTATAAAGTAAACCCTCATGCAATGCATGTAACCATCATGCCAATCTTTATATCTAGCTTGTTGGGTGTAGGACGACTTTCAATTGACACATTATGACTTCTATATTTCATAACAAATCCTATATCTGCTAAAATGTCATGTAAAAAATAAACATTCAAAGAAATTTACCAGTCCTGGCATGCCTGAGTAACGTTTCTGTGAAAAAAGGGTGCTTGCTTTTATAGGTCATGATTAGTACAGTTCATTACATAATGTGTTAAAAATATTTTTAAAAGTGATGTGACAGATCCCTGAAGAAAAAGAACTCACTAAAATTCATCTCCAAGTATTTAAAAGAATTTTCTTCAGTGTTCGTGTGCTAATACATGTAGTATATAAAATACTTCCTCAAGACCATTTTCCACTGAAGCCAAGTGTTGCAGTTGTAAAAACAAGATGAACAAGAATTTTGGTGAATGTTAATGAAAAAGAGTTTTGGTGCATAAATCAAAAAAATTAACTACCACACCCATCACAGTTAAAAAAAAAAAAACCAATGTCAGCTTTCTTTTTACATCACTTAAAGCAAACATGCTTTGTTTTTTTATTTATTTTTAAAACAGATTTTTATTATGTTGATCTAAAATCAAACCTCCTACTTTTTTAAAGTTAAGAATTTGATCATGTTTTACAAAGGTCAAAGGTCATTACCTTGGATTCCACATCCAGCATGGTTTTGGTGGTGACGTTGTCACTCATGGCCTGTGTCATCTGCTGAAGGTGTTGTGAAATAATGGCTGATATACTGGGACCTTCTTCTTCTTCATCCTCTGGGAAGTACCGTCCTGTTGATGGAAATGTAAGACCAATTTTTAAAATCAATACAACTGATCACTTTGTTTACAATGATGTTGGATGTTAGTGGTATGTAAATCTCCAAAATACACACCAAGAACACTCAGATGACAGTTTGCAGCATTTCTATTAATCATTTTACAAGCTTACTAAGACTTTTATAAACATTTCTATTTATTTTTTTCACATTACTTATTCATATATAATTTGGCATTCAGTTTCAGTATAGCTTAATTAAAACAGTAATTTTGAAAAAAATTTGCTTATTTTATTCCAACTGAAGTAAATTTTAAATTTTTTAATCAAAGTCCCCCATTAAATTAAAGTTCTCAATTTTGTAACCAATATAATCCCTCAGGAACTTAAAGTTTTCAATGTTTTTTTTTTCCATAATGATAAGTCTTTATGTTTGAAAGTGTAACTCAATCCAGTAGGACAGATATCAGAAAAAAAGAATTCTTAGCAGTCTGTTTCTGAAGACAAGCAACACAACAATATCACTTTTCTTGTTTGTAAAAATCATAATTACTAACTCAGCACTCCCAGTTCATTTTCGTTCAGCCCCTTGTTGTTGTTGACGGACTCGAACACATCATCACCGTTGTCCACAGGAGCAGGTGTTTTGGTCTTCTTCTCCTCGAGCTCCTCGATTTCTGAGATGTTGTCCTCCTGGTTCTCCTCATCCTCTTTGATGGCCCTCAGTCCGCTCCTCTCTGGGGAGGGAATAGCGATGGTGCCCGCTAGTCCTTGATTGCCATTGTCATCATCATCATATTCCACTTTTGAAAAATAAAAGGTGAGCATAAATATATTTCATAATGAAAATTCTGTAATTTTTGAGGGGAAAAAAAATGTTCAATCTACTTAATTAGAATGAAATCTTTGGCTATTTTGATTTTTTAACAAAAATTTTCATGTTGCCTTCCTTCATTTATTTTTCAAATGTGGCAAGTTTATCTACTTTTTTGTTTACAGATTTCTTCTGCATAATAGGTAATTTCAGTATTATTGGTACTTACTTTTGGTGTTTTTGCTATGGGTAATTTCAGTACATGTACTACTGGTACTTATATTGGTTGGTATTTCAGTACTATCAGTACTTACATTTGTTGGCTTTGTTCTCTCGGAACTTCCTGTACTTGTATTCATCACTATCTTCATCATCTATCACGAGGTCCTCCTTTCTGGGTTTAGGGACACCAATTGTGCTTGTAGCCAACCTTAATGATTAAACACAAGGTAATATTCTTTCAAATGTTTATTAAGGGCTTACACTGACCGTGAAGCCTAGAACACATACTGCAATCTATTCAACTAATTTCAAGAATTACTTGTTGACAAGTAATATATGTGATATTCATCAATCATATCTCATTTGTTTACATCTATCATCAAAATCTACATTTAAAAGGGATGGACAATAAGATTTAATTATCATGGTAGACTAGTTTTCACCTAAGTATCAACTTGCTCATAAATTTCATTACTTGAACTTGAATTTAAGATGTTTGCAATTTTTTTTTTTAGTGCAAACAAATCTGTTTTCTCTTACTTGTTGTACTGTGCGAGCGTGTTGATGACGTCAATCAGCTGTCTGATCCTGTTACAGAAGCTGTCCATGTGTGACATGATGGCGTCCTCATCAGCAATCGACACGCCGTGACCCGCGTCATTGGTCATCAGAGAGGATATCCCCTTCTTAGGAGACACGGACGGTCCTGATCTGGAGGCATTGCTTGGTTTTGACCTGTAATGAGAAATAATTTTTCACCATACAGATAACTTGTCTTGCTTTCTTCCAAACATTTTATCAGATTACAGAATAAATTTAATATGCACTTTGATACTTTTAGTGTAAAAAGGCTGGTGCTGAAATATTTGTACAATCATATACAAATTAAACGTACAATAATATTACTTAAAATAGTTGCATAGGACTTGATTCACTTAGTCCTTTAGACCTTATTTAATGATTTCAGTTTTCTATGAAATTTTGTCCCAAATTATGTGTTTCCTTCTCTCAAATTTTAAGTATTTTTGCATAACATTTTACTTGTATGTAAATGTATTTCAATCTTCCCATCATCTACTTTAACTCCCCCCTTTTAACCTCAGCATCCTCTTGAATTTAACAACCTACAACCACCCCTCCCCCCACACCTACATTCCTTTGTTACATGAACAGCTCCCCTAGTCTTTCATTTATTCACATCCTACTGATACATTTGTACATATCCCAATGATAAAGTCATATATACACACAAAGAATTACCTGGTGGTGAAGCTTCCCGGTCCCCCCACACTGCTGAGGGAGGGGAAGTGGGACATATTGTTGGTCTGCCCCAGGGAGTCTCTCAGTGACCTCAGGGTCTCTCTATAGTACCCCTGGAGGGTCAGGCACGCCTTCAGTCTCCCATACAAACTGTCATCCTGTAAACCAAGATCTTTGCCTTCCTTTGTCTTTCCTCTTGTCAGGGCTCCTTGTTGCTGTAAATATTTTAATCCAAAATTACACCAACATATTCATTAATCTAGTGAGTTAACATTAGTCTGCTCCTCTCAAAACAGTTTGATAACAAAACAAAAATTAATAATATTCTAGATCTCAACATACTCCTTTGACTTTTTCAATAATATATATATGTGGATTAATCCTGGGACAATACTTCAGTCAAAATGAACATTCATTATCTTTTAAACAATTAAAAACATCGAATTTAATTTTCAACCGTGCATGCAATAATATTTTACCTGAATAAAATGACCAAGGAATTTGAATTAAGTTTACACTTAATTAAGTATACTGTAGAGGAACAGTTTCATATCTTAAAGTTTACCTTAATTTTGGCCTCCACTTGGTTTCTGAGCAGTCTCTGTTGGGGGTCCACGAGTGGCAGGGAATCCCTATTCCTTATCTCCTCCTTGATCCTGACCCACAGTTCATCCCCGTCATAGGCCGTGATGGTACAGTTCTTAATGTACTCCTTGCAGGCCAGTACCAGCTGGTTTGTGATCTTGGTAAATACAATACCAAGAAAACCGGTTCTGGCATAGTACCGAGAGATGGAATCCATCTGACGCACGCTGTTGACAATTCCGGGGATGGCGTTGTTGATGATCGAGGCCGGTGTTGCATCCTGGTATAGCTGATCAAAATGACGTCTCAGAGACTCCAGGTACTTGACCTTGTCTTTGGTGTCATTCATGGCATCAGTGATCCTGTAATACAAACACAAATCTCAGGTATTTGTTAAAATTGACACATTTTCAGGGACAGCAGGACATAATCTCACTTCTTTAAACCCTAAACATTCCAATATTCTTAAAATGGTTAAATTAAACCTCTTTCTATAATGAAAACATTTTAAGTATGTAAATTAGCACTTAATATAGAAGAGAAACTTGATCATTTATTGTAATGATATATTTCAATCCCCCTGAAGAATAACTTCAGGTCTGGAATAAAGAACAAAAGCTTGAGACTTCCAAATCACTTTGACATATCCATGGTATTCCAGATATTATTATTGGAGATATTTAAGTTCAGCTGTACTTACTGAGCATCCACATTTTTCCATTTCTTCAGTAACCTGGACTTGGCAGTTATCAGTACACCAATCACAGCCTTGCATTCTTTACTTTTGAGCTGTTCTGTAATGCTGGTCAGTAACCGCTGACGTCGACGCCATCTTTCCAACTCTGACAGTGGACCAGCATTAGGATCCATAAATCTGAAATTAATCCCAGAAAAATTGATATCATTTAGGATAAATTTATTGTGATTTTCAGGGAAAAAATCATAATTATTATTTTGTTCCCACTCATAAAAGCATTATAAATACACTGCACTCTCTGTCTCTTTCTCTCTCTCTCTCAATGTTGCATTACACACTGAGTGACTAAGGAATTCAATTCAAATGGACATGATATACATGTAATCATAGCTTTTTTTTTAAATTCAACTTGAAATTGTTAAGCTTCTTAAGAATTCTTTCTGCACTAATATGGTGTACAATTATGGTATATAATTTACAGGGTAGCCATAATTATACTATACATGAATATTAAATATTCATGTATCATAATATTATCAAAATACTGTATATTTACTTAATATATATTTAATACACACAGAAAATATATATATACCTATGGGAGTTCTGCTACTAGAGTTACAACTTATTTGTAAAATTAAGACATAAACACATTAAGACATTAAGACATAAACAATTTTCTGTTTGATCTTGATTTAAACAATTAACAAAATTTTTTTTTTAACAAGATTAAGGGACTATAGTGTTAACAATAAATACTGCACAGGAGTTAACATCTATGAAACTGAGTGTGCTATAAGAATTTCACATAAGGTACTGTGCTACATGTACTTTATTCTCATTAAAGAAATTCAGAATTTCAAAAAATTTTAAGTTTTTCTTTCCAAATCTCAAAACTTTATTAAAACTACATTCTAAGATGCACAACGCTATAAATAGAAGTCCTACTTTCTGAAACAGTATAATTATGCAATTATATCTACCTTAAATCATACATTCAACAAAAAAAATATCCAAACATAAATGCTAAAAAAAATATTTGAGGTTGCATGTATAACAATTTGTGGTTTAATTGGTAAAATGCATGCTTCCAAAAACAGACATGACTTTATTTAAAAGTATGGTGTTCCTACCAACAACATTCCAAATGGTGAAGCTAATATTATTATTGTTAGTTAAGACATTCCACAATAAGTTTTACCTTGGGTCAGACATTCTGAAAGGTCAAGGTCAACATTTCTCTTGTATTGGCCTATATATCCTTATATTTGTACATGCACATTAATTACGTATATCATCAAGATTAAAAAAAAACAAAAAACCTGACACCATGTATTTTTTATTCCTTAAAAAAATTCAACATTTTTAAACCCTCCCCAATAAAATATTTAGTCATCTTAATTGGCACTGTACGATGTTCTTTCCAAGATTTTTACTGCCCCCCCCCTCCCCCTTCCCCCAATTGAAATACGGTAATTAAATTTAGTTGAACAATCTTATATTAGTGACACATACATTAGATTGCAATGTTAATAGTCATAAAACAAACATTGACCATTTTAAGTTCCCCAACAAATTAAATTCAATCTGCTATTACCTTTAACAGAATACATAAAATTTGTTCCTTTTCACATTTTTCATTAATAAATGGTTAAAATCAATATTATAGTCACACACTGATCAATAATTCTACTCACTTAATTGTAAGAAATATTAAACATAAATACAAAGCTATTAACACTACTTTTAAATCAGCTCATTAAGAGATTTCTGATCACTGCATTTAACAAAATTTCTATTATTTTTCACCTATATGTTGGCGGTTCATCAGGAAAGACAACTGTCCTACAAATTGTAAGATTAGCAAATGAGTATCACTGAAAAAAGATACTAGTTTTACCTGATAAAACGTTGGATAAAGAATAATTAATTCTATTCATCAGATACAAAATTATAAATTAATGCACTGAAAAGTACTGGGACTAGAGTATTTCCTACTCTCAGTCAGGTTATTGTAAATAAAAAATAAATATATAAAGAAAAATGTCACACAAGTAATTCAGATACTTAATGGAATGTCAATTAAAACAAACCAGTTTGACTTACTCATTAAGAGTTTTGAACATATATTATATATATATAAAGTAACAGATGAATTGCAAATAAATTTACATGTATTATGCCATATCATATGATAAATTATAATTTTTGTGTGCATGGCTATATAGCTAAACGTTCCAACTCTATAGAACAGTATTAATTTACTTTGAATAAATTAGTTTAATAACTGTTAATAACCATAATACTGGTGCTTAGATAAACAAGGAGAAAGAATCACTGTGACACAGGAAAGAATGGGAGACATGTGTTGGACAAAAAAGTAATACGTACATCATTATAATAATTACACACCCAAAGAACTTGTCAATAAAAAGGTGATGAAAAAAAGCTGAGAAATAATTCGAGAAAGATGTGATATTGTTTCAAAGGTAAGGGAGCTTGTAAATTATGAATCACATGACTGTATGATGTAGATTTTGAAGTACCTTTCGTCTGATGTGTCATTCAGCATGGTCTCTATGGTGTTGATCCAATCTGTTACCAGTTCTTCATACTGACCAATCAGCTGAGCATCTAGGGCTGCGGCACGATGCTGTTTGAAGTCATTCAGGACAATGTTTTCGGGCTGTTTCAGCATCTGTCATGGAAAATATTGTAGATATTTTAAATATCTAAAGTTCTCAAATTAATTTTTTTTTCCCTTCAAAATCAAAACTTTTTTTTGTTTTTACTTCATTCAATCATGCCGTTTTGTCAATTTATATGCAATATTTGGTATTCAATACATAATTTTTTTTTATAGAATATATTCCAACAGCTATGTTTATAAAACAAAAATTTAAGCAGATATGACATTTAAAATAAGTTAACATTTAAATTATGATTAAAATTTTATTCAATATTCAACTATTCATCAATTTAAAACATCTACATTTATTACTTTTCTTCAATGTCACAAAAGTACTCTATATACAAACTTTGTATGATAATGTAAAATAATGAAGAAAAATGCCACTTTTAATCATCATTACCAGCTGCTTTGAGTGATGCATGGAGGCTGTAGACTCATTCAGGGCCGTCAGAAACTTGTCCATGCTGTGACTCAGGTTGGTCTGTCCCTCCATATTGCACTCACCCCACTCCTTCTGGGCTTTTATCAGGGGGTTATAAACGTCAGACAGAAGGGTGACCAGAGTCTCAATTGTATTGTGCTTGAGCTCGCCACAGAAAATATCTCTCTCATACCGTACTGTATCAACATCTTTATCCACTCTATTTCTCAAAAAATACAAAATATTGACTTTATCTAAATCTACATCTTTCAGTGCGGCTAGCGTTCCAGTAACATTGAGTTCTCTGGTTGACAATACGCCACTTTCGGCTTTTGCGCAGGTAAAGAACAACCTGCATGGACCACCTGCTTTCAAAAAACGGTTGATTTTATTCAATGTGGTCTCTTCGGTCATAAAATCCTCGAGCAATGTTGGATTGTCATATCCTCCAATTCTGAAGGTTTCCTGGATTTTACCAGCTATCCACCAATGTCTTTCATCCATTTTGTACCTTTCAGGGTATGCAGTTTAGCGATAAATCAGTGTCATAACTTTGGTGAATAACGCGGGTGCTTACCAGATGAACGCCGCCATACTGATTGTTGTTGGTTACGAGTAACCCGGATGAAGCACCTTGCTAAATTCATTGTCACTAACACGCTTATTTTGATCATCTCAAAACTTAAAAATAAAAAAAAAAGTTTTCAGTTCCCTATAAACTACATCATTTTATCTTAAATTTGCAAGTACTCCCCCCCATAGACGTAAATGTTATTCATTAAAGTCATATATGGCGTATTTTTGATAAATTCAGACTAAAGATCTTTCTATTTGTTTTATTACTTTATATAATGATAGGACTTTCCTGTAAATTACACAATTCAAATCAATCGTGTTTCATAGATATCAGAGATTTAAAATAATAACCGATTTATTTACCGACTCCGCATTTAAAAATCAGACACAGTTTAAAGTCATTTGAACTACAGAAACGTCAAATCGATGAAAATTTTAATTTCAACGTAAATAACAAATATCATGTTGATGTACACTTAATCTCGTATTTTTATTTTTTTTTAGCTCAGATACGCCATATATAGCTTTAATGTATCCGTTCCTCCCCATAAAGATAGAAACAAGGGACTGAATATTTAACACCCTGCAGAGACATTTTTTTTTTTCAAAAGTGAACTTTCTGGGCGATTAATGGTCTTGGGTTTTTGTATTTAAAAAGAAAGTTACGTAGGGATATTGCAATGAGAAATTCAAACTGGAGGTGTGCAAACTGAATCACCTCAGACCATAATTACATAAAATTGCTTTTATCACTTATATTGTGAATATTTTTTTCTAAACTTTTATTTTTACTATTATATTATAATAAAATTTCCTTTTCATTCTGTTGATTTCTTGACTTTCTTTTACTTTTACCTTTTAATCAGCTGCAGAATCTACTTACAGTACTCTAATCAGAGGGCAAGTAGTATCGATCGAGAGATAATTTAATTTTGTTTGTATTCTAGCCTCTGATTGGTTAATATCCAAAAAGGAGCACAAATTATTTCTGTATAACCGGTATGGGGACACACACCCCTGACAACCAGCTGAATCATCTGTATCCATACAATCCTCTCATTTCCAGTCCTCGGGATTCATGGAAAATATAACATTTAATAAATGTACCTTTAACTTCAAACAATAATTCGATCTTACCACATGTAAACAAACAACAAGGCTGCTAGGCCTATGTATCAGTTTTTACCTCCCCTCGCTTCCCATCACTTCCGTTACTTCCGTTATGGTTGTATTATTGAGCGGTAAATTTGAACTAATAAAAAGCAACGAAATTTTACACCCATAGTTATTTAATGATTTTAAAACTAAATTATAAGGAATGACTCTAATTCTTGGCCAAATTATTCGAGTATAACCTGGTTTGGGTCAGTTAACGCTGTTTTATAATCCGCTTCACGGCTTATAAAGCGTAAACTGACCCAAACCAGGTTATACTCGAATAGTTTGGCCAAGAATTAGAGTCATTCCTAAAATAGATACATGTAGATGTAAAATAACGGTCGATTTATTAGGACATCAGTAACATACCTCAGGTGAGCGTTGTGACCCATGGCCCTCTTGTCATGCGACAAAATTGTAAGAAGAAAATAATCTTACAGTGAAGTTGTCAGGTGAAATTCAGTAAGAAAAAAATTAATGTAATTGAATCAATAAATGTGATTAAGTATTTGAATTTAATTTTGTAGCTTAATTTCATTTTTGTATGTTTTCTCTATTGTTGGTTTCTTTTGTTCTTTTGTCAGTTTTTCCCCGAATTTATTTATTTATATGTTGTTTGTTTGATTGATTATTTATTTATTTATTTTTTATTATGTTCACAGGCACTTGGGGTATGGAAACCCCCCCCCCTTTCATTTTTTTTCTTCTTTTTTAATCTGGGGTCGAGTCGCATTTTTCCCTATTTTTATATTCTAATATTCTCTATATGTTATCAATAATATAACTCTTTTGTCGATCTCTATAAGCTGTTTTTAAATATATCGTTTTCGACTGATACATAAAAAAAGAGAGAAAGAGTTGCAGGCCTTCTCTCTTTTTATGTGTCAGTCGAAAACGATACATTTAAAAACAGCTTAGACAAAAGAGTGATATTATTGATAACACATATAGTGCATATCAGAATACAAAAATAGGAAAAAGGTGACTCGACCCCAGATTTAAAAAGAAAAAAATTGAAAAGGGGGGCATACCCCCAAGTGCCTGTGATACAGGGTGGTAAAAGGATAAAGTTTGATTTAAAAATGGGAGATTGCATCATGTTGTAAATTTTGCATTTACCTCCCCCTACTAAATTCAAAACCTTTTCAGTGAAGAAATCTGTTTTATTAAGTGTAATTATAGAAATCTGAATTAGATTTCTATTATACTTAATAAAAGAGACCTCTTCACTAAAAATGTTTTGAATTTACTAGGGGGAAGTAAATGCCAAATTTACAAAATGATAGTTGTAATAGAAACATATACAATATATACTATACATATAATTTATCTATTTTTTAAGGACATCCTCATATACTTTTTGTCTGTCATCAGACAACAATTCAATCGGGCTCTTAATGTTTGACATTTATAATAAATGCAATAGAATTTATACCCCCCCCCTCCCACGAGAAAAAAGAACTAGGTAACCATTGAGGCCCGTGGACCTCTTGATTCTGTATATTATTACATTTTAGCTATTCTGATTATTAATTATCATGACATTTCCTATATAACTTTAGCAATTTCAAGCTACTTGGCCTTTGCTTGGGTGAAAATGTAGCCCTTAAAAAAAATAAAAATTTTAAAACCCTACAAAATATCATATTTGAACAAAATACACTGTAATTTCAGTTTTCTACTGTGTAAAATAATACTGCAAGATATAGTTTAATAAATATTTTTTAAAAAGACTTCCAGAATGCTTCAGAACCCACCAAAAAGTCAATTTTTGTTTTAAAAAAAATGGCTTAGAGGATCGAGGAGATACCCTTCCACATCCTCCAAGCACCACCCTTTCCAGAAAGCTGATAACTTCCCTGACTTAACTGTGGAAGATATAGGTTAAAAATATAGCGAAGCTGCTATTAATTTTTGATGACTTCTGGATCCAGGATCATTTTCTGGAAATTAAAAAAAAAAAAAAAAAAAAACAGAAAAGAAAAAGAAATGTATAGTCTTCAGTATTTTTTAAGATATCATTTTTATATCAGTGTTTAACAACCTTACCCATACAAAGAAGAAACTAAATATAGTACAACAATTAAAAAAAATCTCAAGCAAAGTAATTGTACTAGACAAAGTATATTTATGGGAGTTAATAATTTTTAATAAAAACGTTTTTCCTACTTCTGATAATTCACCATCCAATGTTTGAACTGTAAAACCTTCAAGAAAATGTTGAATTTTAGCTTTATATTTTTATTAATGCAAAAAAATAAATTATAAAAAAATATTGTAGTAACCTGCATATTTATGTAGCAGATTTTCCAACTCTTGATGCTGTCAGATAGTCTTGACATGGCCGTAGGAACCGGAAGGGGGGCACACGCCCCCCCCCCAATAATTTTGCCGATATATAGATTACTTTAGTCATGGATACTATATGCCGGTGCCCCCTGAATAAGAACGTCTGCTGACTTTTTTTTTTGGTTGTCAGGAAGTTTTTGGTAGTACCCCCTCAACTGTCATGATCAACTGAAAATGTATGGTTGCGCCCCCCCCCCCCCCAACTGAATTTGCTTCCTACGGGTCTGCTTGATAATAGTTTGCAATCGTATTCTGCACATTAACTCTGTTAGTTTGAAAGATTCAAAAGCCTCTTATTATAACAGGTAAAATTGTATGCAATATAATTAAAATTACATCTTTCATTTCGCTCTTAGTTTTCTACCTACATACCAAATCTATATATTTCATGCACCAGTATACATCTTGTGTATAAAAATCTCAGATGTACATATAGGCAAGCTTGTGCTCTATGTTTTCGGAGGTAAAAAGTATATTTTTCAGATTTGATGAAATTCCATGATCGACTAGTAGATGAAGAAAGAACGAGATAAAATGGACTTCTTTTTTTTTTTAGATTGAATTGCAAGCAATACTGTACTAGAGTTCAATGCCAAATAAAATGACTGTTGGTTTAGTAGTATACTCTTCTGTGAAACATTTATTATGATCAGATTCAAACAATTCAGTGAACAATTTTTCTTAACATTATAAAAAAACATGTTTTTGGACGTGTCACAATACTGATTAATTAACAATAAAATCAAAATTGTGTACCTTAATACATATGTACTGGTACGTTAAATGAAATCCTCTTTTATATGATCAAGCATATACACAGTAGATTCTACATAATAGTTAATTAAAAATTGTTTTTTGTAAATTAATGTGATTCAAAACATGTTTTTATATGAAAATTAGAGTCATGAATTGGATACAAAGTAACAAAAATGATGGCTATAAGTACAATTAACTCTTGTTTTTCAAAAGTTTAATTTAACACGTCTTTGCGACATAATAAGAATCACTGGAGATACTTGTGCACTGTCAGTGTGTTGGTTAATTGTCCTACATAGAGATTTTTCTCATCATCCACACACACACTACGGGGAGCGTATACCCCTTGTTGTTGTGTGAGTAATAGAGACAAGAACTGACTGTCCTGATCAAGGAGGTGAACAGTGTTACTGTAACTATCACACACCAGGATGTGACCGAGGACATCAGTACAGATTCCATAGGGACGGAACCCTGACTCCTGACCTGTGTAGCAGAACCTGTGTTGACCTGATTTATTCACCACCACTACTCCCTTTCTAAAGTCTGAAGTACAGATATCTCCATTGATGTTTTCTGTGATGTAGTGTGGTAGTTCATACAGTTCCTGTCCTTTGTTATCCCTCTGTATGTTCTGTAGTTCTTTTCCTGTCTTGTTGTACCTGGTGACTTTAGCCTCTTTATCAGTCTTCATCCCCACCAGTAAGTCCCTGTTGATGTGGGAGGAGTGTATGCTGAATGGTATCCAGTATCCAATTT